ACAATCAACATAATTATTGATTGATAGTATTCAAAAGCGAAAACTATGGAAGAGAACATTTCTTCACATCGGTTCCTTACTTCAAGTCTTCCGCGGTCACCACGGTTATCAATCCATGAATTCTTTGTTACAATATACAGCATATCAGTACAAATGAATAATAATTTCAGAGAAAGAACCGAATAATATTTATGTATAGGTGATATTTGCAAATGATGATTCTTAATATAATGAATGCATTTTGTTTCACTTTAAAAAGGTATCGATAATAAATGCAATATTGTATTCTTAAGTATAGCAGTCTATATTGAAATAAGTAGTTGTGTAATCTCGCAAATTTATCAACATAAAAATTGTTTTCAACCATACATTGTCAAAGTTATTCAATTCAGCAGTATATAATTATGATAAGGAAACCTCTCCGTGTATACAATAACATAAACCAGTTATTGTGCTTGGGACGTATTCGGTTGGGTTTATTTTATGTAATGTCAATAGCAAATGTTTTGTAAGTATGCAATCAGATGAAATCATTATCTTAATTTTCCAACTTGATTTCATAATGATCACGCAAACATTTTCAATATTTGAAATATGAGAAATTAAAGCTCGCTAATTCATTACTGTTTACTTTATGTCTTACAGTTGACCGTAAAGTAACCTAATCAACTTATTGGTAGGATGTGCTGTATTTCTTGATTTTTTTAATTAATCATGTCAGAAATCATTTTCCAAACGATTTGATTTATTTGTTAAACATGCTAGAGAGACACTAACAAACCTTATGTACATATTCGCAATATGTGAATATGTCAATATCAAAGCCTAAACAGGTAAACGTTTCAATAACTAACATCTTCGACAAGTAATTAAAATATAGGTAGTATTATGTGCTAATTAACAGGCCCATGTTTGACATATTAGTTTTTCCGGTCGACTAGACTGCTAAAAGTCAACGAGGTCAACTGTATAAACTGATAGTTAGCTGTGCCAAAGTTTAATTTCGATATAATAATCAAGAGCCTATATTTTCCAGCTGAACGGGTTACAAAGTAGTGAAAATGAGTTATAGAAGTTTGCATATACTATTATTAAACAGATGTGTTCATTAGATGAACCATAAAAAAGTGGACACACCGCTCCAAAAGACTCGTCTTTTAAAGTGATTTATAGAGTCAAAGGAACCGAATCAAACGGGGGGTCGATTCAATATTTTATGCACTGCTGAGGTATTGGCAATCCATGAACTCAAGCCTGAACTCTGCGTGCAGTAACGATTTGTTCAATCACTCACCCTTCCTTGGCCCTAATTCCCTTAATGGGTATGTTGTTCGTTTTTTCCCCCTTTTTTTTTCTTTTCAGCACTTTTATTTTATGATTATCGGTTTTTTTATTTTTTAAATTACTGTTTTACATTTTAAACTCCAATCAGTTATTATTATTATTACCTTATACAAGTGTTCTTGATTATTACTCAGATTATTATTATTATGACCTTTGTGTTTGTCGCTTTTCTTCATATATGACCCTTAAATTATTTTCTTCCTTACCTCTTGATTAGTACGTCACCTCATTTGTTATTTATTGTCGAATCAACTTGTAATGCAATTTTTCCTAGCCTCTTGTAGACATATATTTTCCATATCACTATAAATATGAATGTACAGCTTAATTAAAAGATTTTGTCGAAAAGAAAATTTTCTTCGCTGAATTCTCTTTTTCGATAAAAAAGTATTATTAGCATGTGGTCTATAATCACATTATGATTATTACTCTCATTTGACTATGTAGCATATTCAGTAGAGCTTGATGTGGATTTATTGGTGTTAGTTCAGTTGATCTTAACCATAGAAATACTTTAGTTGTAGCAGTGAAATGATCTTAGTATATAAATTAATGATGACTGGAACTTATTAAGCTTTAGTAAACAATTTAATAGTTGAGTTTATCGGCCAATTAAAGCTAAACTACCATGGAAAACCAGCAAGCACTAGACGGCCTTTCGTCTTAATATGGGACTCCTCAGCAGTGCGCATCCACGTTCCCGCTAGCGGGACTCGAACCCAGGACTTTCAGGTTTTCCATGATGGTCTAGCTTTAATTCACTCATAAATTCAACTAATAAATTACTACAATCTCTACAAAATCCCTTTAATAAACACTTTAAGGTCAAGCAACATTCTTATCAGCATTGACTGGATTGCATTACATAGGAAAAGAGTTCATATGCACTGATAAATAATATAATGACTTCCATTTAATTCACAGTCAACACAATGGTATATACTAAGATATTGCTTATCGATGAGTGCTAATACAAGTTAGCCTTAGCGCAGATAATAAAGGTTTTGTAATTATACAACTGAACGTATTCTTATATTTTCATGCGTGAAGGACACAAGGTTAAGTGCATGTTGCACATGTTCATGTATAAGATGTAAAAAAAAAGCGTACTATCGGATGACCGTGATTTTATTTTGCATCATCAATGAGACAGATATGATGCATATGCACCGATAATCATGTCCAAATAATAATACGTGTTACGTGCACAGAAAGACTGTAATAACATTGTCAAGCATTTAACTACATTTTCATTATTTTGAGGCAATTGAACAACATATAGAACTCAAAACAACGGTCAATCAATATCAAAGTCAGAATCTTCAATACAAACGGAGCTGAAACTTGGAAAACTACTATAAACAATTGTCTACATAAGATACTCAATGTCTGTTGTTGTCCGGATACCATCAGCAATAGCCCATTATGGGAGAGAACAAACCAGTTTCCAGTTGAAGAGGAAATTAAGAATAGACGTTAGAGGTGAATGGGACGTACATTTCAGGAAATCATCAAACTGCATCACCAGGCAAACACTAACTTGCAATCATAAAGGGAAACGCAAAAGAGGAAAATCAAGGAATACATTGAGCCGGAAAATTGGAAGCAGCCATGAAAAGAATGAATAGCAACAGGAAGGGACTGCCCATGACAGATCTGAATGAAGAATGCTGGTGGGCGGTCTATGCTCCTCGACGAGGGGTAACAGGAGTAAGCAAGTAACGATGTAGTATAGTCTAAACTGAAGGCCATACCACTATCACTATTTATTATTCTCAAATGTCATTAGTACAGTATAATCGGTTTCACGTAATCACAGAATTTTACCTAACGATATTTTGAATACAATTTGGTTACCGAGAAAATACAGAACGGAAAAGATGCAACCGTAAAACTAGTTCATGGATAATTGATGTTAAACACAATGACGGCTGAACTGTAATCAAAAATACAGAGAATGTATATGAAATGGGAATGACGGTTATTTATCGATGCAATTTGTAACGAATTGGAAAATAAAAAATCGAAACCAAATTATGCGTGACCTTAAAAAGGGCCTAGTATCGGTCCCTTGGTTCTGACTCCATAATCATTTCTCTTCCAGGGCTCTCCATCTTCCCATTCCCGTATTTTATAACCTCATAAAAAGAAAAACACGTTAGTTTCTTAGTTGATGACTGAAATATGAACGTACCGTCTTATCTGAGATATCCAGTTTTAGTACGGCCATGCCTTCCATTGCACTTCCGTAACCGCGCCACGATTGAATCAGGGAATTGCGATTTTGGGTCCTAACCACAAAACAACTCAGATATAGCATTTCAGTGACACGCGATCTGAGTTCTTTCTTCGGCATTTTCGCTTGGCGGCAGATCAAGATGGCGTATGTCACACAGTTCGTTGGTGTGAGCATCTTCGTCTATGTTGTCTTTGTCATTAAATTCTTCCGAGTTTATAGAAACATCATCTTCTGCATGACTTAGAGTTGCATCCAAATCCATGTTCGTTAGATAGATTCCTGGCATTTCTTCATTCATAGAAGTGGAGGCTTCAATATGAGGTTCAGGTGCTACGGATAACGTACAGTTTTTGAGGCATCCTTTTGATGCTTATGGAAATGAGAAACACGAACCACGTGATAGCAGTATGTCGCCATTTCATAATTTCTGATAGCAACCGAAACAATTCACCTAGTACTTCGTGAGTCACTAAACTTCGTAGTTTGGATAAAAGATGATCACTTGAGGAGCACTTATGTTTTATATCACTTTTCAGAAAACAATAACCAATAATTATCATTTTAAAGCTAACCATCACATTGGACAGAATGGGATGATGAAATCTTTAATGAGAAGATAGAAAAATAACCGCGCAATAAATGAAATTCGGTTTGGTGACTCATTTCCTAACAAAGTCCGCACATATTCACGAGTTCAATTTGGTAGACCAAATTGACTAAGGCCTTTGTAACCAGTACCAGGTAAACTGACAAACACATTATCAAGTAAGTAAAAGCAACCATCCGATCAAATATTTCTTGCTTCTAGAAATTCCATACGGGCCCCCAAGTTATTGAAAACAATACTCTGTGAGTAGTGTACAACAAACGCATTTTGTGAAAACTCATGATTTGACATATTCACATAACTGGAGAAACCATTCTCAGGAGGTATAAACGAAATGTGAAATCAAAGGCAGAGTTTACTCTGACCCACTTAATCTAGTCTAAGATATAAATGCCTCACTGAAATAGTGAACTGAATATTGTTAAACTAATACTGAACGGCCGTCCTGCCTTAGCATGGGACTTCCCAGGAGCGTGCACCCACGACCACGCATACAGGACTCAAACGCAAGACCTTCAGCATCGTGCGCGGACGCTCAATCTTTACACAACTAAGCTGGCATCCAACGATACTAATATCAGTCAATCCACGACGTTGTACACGAGTCTAATCTTTAAATCCACCCACTTTATTCTAAAGCGCCTGTGTAACTATTGACAGAGGACAAAGTTAAACAGGAAACTAAGTTTATTTTAATAACAATTGCGAAAAAAACACCATAAAACAAATGACATCCTTGTAAAAAGGTGACACTAGTCCTCTGCTATCAATATCTTAAATCTCGTTACACCGAGCTTTATGTTGATAGTTTTAGAAGGGAGTTGCAGGCCTGTTCGATAAATATTTCGCCAGACGCGGTGAACTGGTTAACAGATTTTCTCGATGTTTATGGATCTCAGGATACTTGCCAGTTAGAAATCCTTTATCCAGATCAGTCACATGATCAATGACAGCAATCAGAACTAAATCAGCTAGAGTCACTTTGTCCCCAACAGCCAGCTTGCCTGTCGACGCTTTCAGAGATTCGCAGATCAGCTAAATGAGTGTTGAAGAAAAGAATGGACAGTTTAGTTGATTGATAAAAGTCTTCATCAACTAATTTATTTCATTTAAAAAATACGGTCTCATCTAAACCGACAGTGGATAACGACATTCATTATCAACTTCAGTTAACATTTCAAAGAAATACTAAAACAAACAACTCACCATGGAAGTGTCCAACGCTTACTATTTTTTACTGATGATCAAGATCTTCTGAGTCCTTATTTAATCTGTTTGTTTGATAAACATACAGTAAGTGCATGACTTTCCAATTCTTCAGATTTCTGCGTCTGATCACAAAGCTTATCAAAACATGAAACTATTGATTCTACTAAGTAATTTACCTTGGTTGATACACATTTAATTGTCAGATGCATGTTTGAGATACACTCGACATACCAACTTCCCTCACTAACATAGCTTACTGAAGATGTGGATATGCTAATTCGTTCTCATAAAAACCAATGTGGATTAAGATAAGTGTTTGAATATAAGCGGTATGGAAGCTGTCTGGTGATATCGTAAGTCACTTGATAGCCAAACGAACATATGTAGGTCACATATGACATCGATTATATCTTTGCTATCTGATATCTCTTAGTGCTTACAGCATCAAGTGCAATTACAGACCAGTTATGTAGAATTTCAGTTAGCATTATATTCAGTCTGTGTCTTGATAAACAGACTATAGAGAAACACTAGGAAGAGCCAGTGTAATTATTTCAGACGTAAGTCGATTAAACTTATACTGTCAAATGATTTGTGTGCAGTTACTGCCATCAACGTTGATCAGTAAGAAGTAGACCTATTACACCGAAACAAAAACAGTTGAGAGCGCTCAATTTACTATTAGGACTGTGTCAAATGTACTATTGCTTGCTAGATGATTACACTTCGATATTGAAAGCCTATAAAAAAGGGTGGTCAATCTACTTACATTATATGATGGTCAGTTCCAACACTGATAACTTTCAATAGGACCTGTCTTCATTTCCATCGAGACTATGAATGTTAATGAAAATTGAAAGCTCTTAATTTAGTAAAAACCACTACAAATCGTTTACGATCTAATGAATGCACACAATCAGCTTACATCTACTAAAGCCATGTTGTTAATACAAACATTAACTAACAGTTTAAGTTAACTTACATTGAGAAGAACTGGAACTTTGCCGTTCAATATCTCTTTGGTTATCTTCTCTTTCTCTTCTTGTGGCTTCATCAAAGTTTTGTGATATTCATGTTCAAGATCTTCAGCCTATGTATTGTAGACAAGATTAAAAATACTCCATGAAAATATGGGCGAAAACCATAATATATTGACGACCTTGGGCGACTAATCATTCAATCAGGAAACACTGCATAGTTACAAAACACTGAACAGTAAAAACCAATAAAATAACAGTAGAACAACGTCTTTGATCTGAATAAACAACCCCCTTTTGCCAAAACATTATCTGCAGCAAACATAAGAGGTTACGACTACACATTCGGAATCGAACTAGTATTTTGAGTATAGTTTTCATCACCACATAATATCTGTTATATCATAAAGTGTACTGAATTAAGTATTAAGAGAAAGGATAGAGTTTTGAGTAGGATTTACAAATTAGGACTGTGGTTTTTCTTATGAGCTGTTTATTTATTTGAATACGTAAAAAGTGGTACAAGGGGACACCAAATCTACATGCACCACACAGTTAAAACAGGTTGCGAAGAGTTAGTGAATGGAAAGTGAGTATAATAAAAGATAGCAACAATGAATAGAAATTATTGTGTAAGAGTGAAATAATAATAATAATATGAACAGTACGATGAGAAGACGAAAGTTTGCATAATTGTGATATATTTGCGCAATATATTTCGAACGATCTCACCACACACAAATGTTAGAACATTATATATAAAAAATAAGAGGTCAACTAGATAGATTAAAAAGGGGAAAGATAATGATGAAATATACAAAAGCAATGTGACCACGCTGGATAATAAATCAGTATTATCGGGGAAGAACAAATTGATTGTGAACACATAAAAGGGGTTTCAGGTTCCGATTGACTTGATATCAACCTTACGAACAGTCTCAACCAAATGTCTATTTTGATTTTTTTGGACCACCGAGATTCATTTGTTTTTGCAGCCATTTAGGTATATTCAGACGCTCACGATTGATACTCCCTATGTAAGTGATTCCATACAAACATGCAAATTGATAGATACAAAGGGATGTGGCACAATCGTTTACATGTTGTTTGGGTTTTTAATGGAACACAAACTTTGACTTTCGATAATGATATGTTGAGCTGCATAAAACGTCCTTATTTATATATATAATATATATATATATATAATATATATATATAGTATATATATATATATATGATATATATATATATCATATATTATCATATATATATGATAATAATGAGACGTCCTAAGCTTATTATAGTTTTCGTTTCAAGATGAGACTATTTGAGTCACCGCTAAATGATAAGGTTATGTGAATTCATTTTTCGGGTGTTAAAAACGTCATAGGACTACCCATAGGCACTTTAATCTGTCGATAATACTAAGACCACTATTACTAATGATAATAATAATGGCCCTGTATACAAACACCTCAGGTAGAGTGAGGACATACAACCATCTTTCTCGATGCTCTATTTAAGCACTGGGGTTAGATAGGGTTGCCCAATCTCACCATTCCTCCTCACCTTTTCCATCGATGACCGATGTGTGGGCCAGAATGAAAATGATTGGTTGTTTTGCTGAGTCAGACATTAGATAGGGTGACAGGTGTTATATATTCTCCTATCCTTATTATTATTATTACTATTGATTAACTGTTCTTTGTTGTTGGATTGTGTCGAATTTCGGTGTGGAAATATATTGATGTCAGGCTAATCTCGTGTTCTTGATTTATTTATTTAAACACATAAATATTGGTACAAGGAAGCACCAGATAAATATGCGTCGCACAAATCTCATTCGATTTGTGTGAGGGCTGTGATACTGCCCAGGTGCCCAAACTGAAGCAGGTGATTTTCTTAGGGGGGCACACCCGGAGCCTTTGACCTAAAGGTCTAACCCACAAGACAGTGGAGCATCTTAAGGAGATGCAGTCCCATGGTAGCCGGTGACCAACAGATGGTTCATACGCCATTCGTTCCTTTAGGATACTGGAGCCCATGTGCACCATTGGTTTGGAATCAGGGTTTTCCAAATCCCCTAGGTGGATCCTCCACATCCACCAACCTGGTTAAAGCGCCGGACATTAGCTTTTCGTCCTCTCACTTTTGTAAACAACAACCCCGCCACGAGAAGGCAGTGAGTAGGACTTCCCTGGCAGAGGCTTGATCTGAGTTGTGTTGAAGTCCTGTAGAATAGACACTGAGATGGAATCTAGTGTGGATATTCGTCTAAGGCAAATTAACGTCCACATGTGTGAAAAGTGAAAGGACTGTTATAACAAGTAACAATGACATTCTGGAAACAGCTCTGATGGATGTAAGTAATGGTGGTGTGGATCTGTTGCCTTGAGAAAGACCTCTTGACATTGAGTGTGCGGATGGTATTGTCTTACTGTGCGATAACACCTAAAAAATGCATTCCGCACTTAATCAGTTGAGAGTCAATGTTCGTAGGTATGCCATGCACTATAGAGACGTTACATAACGAACTTTATTAGGTTACTAAAATAAGGCGTATCATGGGGGAAGTAAAGAACTTGTCAACTAACCTATGGGCACATCTTGTTCTTTCTAGCAAACAAATTATGGTGAGGATGAATAAAATAAGACACGATAAAGTATTTTTGAGAGTGAAGTAGATGGTTCCAGTCAACACTATTACGATACTACAAATAAGTAACTTATTTGTAATATCCCAATAGGCAGGAAAGCTCAGTCTTAGTCACATTTCTAATAATTGGGATACCTCAAACTTATCATGATTTTTAGTAATCACAACGTATAAGTTACCACTCCCTTATCTATTCAAACTTAATTTATTCAACGCAATAAACTGAACATACAGGACTCCAGTAACATGAAATTCCACCAATCAATAAAAGGCTTAACTCACCTGACCAATCAACTTTTCAACACTATAGTATTCCTCGTCTGTTTCACCCATCATATGATGTTTCTTCGCCATATACCGTGCAATAGCCAAACTCTCTAACATCCATTTCACGTGCCCATGATTATCAGTGATTTTCACTGCAGGCAATCGTCCGCCTGGAATAGTTGGTTTGACTTTCGGCCAATCTTGGAAATTAATTCTCTCATCTTCGTAGTCTACACCAGCTGCCACAAGAGTCATCCGAATCGATTCAGCACGTCCGCGTCCGTCAAAATAGATAACCTATAGAAACTACAACTTAGTGTCTCACATCACTTTACGCTTGAAAAAAATTCCATTATCCAAGTTCTAACCACTTCAGACAAAACATCACATAATAAATAACTGTTCCATGGACGCATATCTCTGAGATATGGACTAGATGGATTCACGCTCTAGAATCCTCTAAGTTCTCGTAACAATTCTATAGACAAACTATGACATCTGAAATGCTACACCTAACTTTTCTTAAAAAAAACAATCGGGGATCATTATGTGACTATAATGGTTGAGCATTATATCAGAACCCAGTCTGAACACGTAACTTACTGACCTGATGACGTGGAAAATCACTGCCAAATATATGTACGGATCTGATGTGCAATTAACAGGACTCAGTATTTACCTTCATATAGCGAATAATATTTATTCTGCTAAATACCGCAACTGAGAACCTTAACAACACTCGAAAATTTACCAAGCGACACAAATGATGAACAACTACACTAACCAACCTTGATATGCTCGCCAGCCATCATACAAGTAGACAGAACAATGCTAACCAATTATGCAGTGACTCTTAAATAGTCATTTGGTAAACAGATCGGCCAATAGTGTAACTACTTGATTTTAACTGTGAATACTTCATTTCTATTCGCTGATTTATTGAGGGCCTCATTGGCTGTGAAAGAGTGACCAATAAAAATTAAGCAGACAAATTTAACTCGATTCATTGAACATGCCAACCGATCTCAACGATGGTTTATTTGATGTATTTTTAGCAGTCGCAATGAGTCAATTGAAGCTAGATTACCATGGAAAACCTGGAAGCACTGAACGTCCATATCGTCCTACTGTGGGACTCCTCAGCAGTGAACATTCACGTTCCCGCCCTGCGAGATTCGGTCTCGCGCGCGAGCGCCTAACCTCTAGACTACTGAGCCAGCATCCAACGTTGTTAATGTCAATTGACTCATGGTCTCAACTAATAAAATTACTATGATATTCAAAAAAACCATTTCTGATGTATTTTTGTTCATTTTCTTGATAGTATGCGTTAGCAAACGGATTTAGCAAAGGTCACCATGTTAGGATAGTATGTCCATGATCGAGACAACTGAAAGCAAAATAACATTAAGAAACCTCTCAGCTAACCTGATTTCATGAAAAAGTACGACTTAAATAACCAGCAAACGCGAAAATGTAAAGTACAGCCTAGTCCATTGGACACTGTTTATACTAACAGTTTATCCTGACCAAATGATGTTTGTTTCTGAATAATGCCATCATTATGTAGCAGTAAGTAGAAAAACTTCGTTTACTTCTTGACATCATGCCTAACAATATCATAATCATCTTTGTGATCTCAGGCAAAGTTTCCACAGTTATCGGTAAGATTTCCTAGAAATATGTTGACAAAAAACGCTTCCTTTAGCGATTTAAAATGTTAAGCACATTTTCAAAATAATGATCATAGCAGTCTTTCACTCCACTAAATTTGTTTCAGTCGATACTTAATTCACTCCCTTTGAAGTGATAGGAGTATATCAGATTTCCTTCCAATCCATTGTGGTGGCTACCTCTTAGGTTTGTATCTAAGTTTAAAAGCTGCCATTATGTATTAACTCATAACATTTAGTGACTCAAACGCTTCAGTGACTACCGATTACATAGCTTAGAACCAACAGTCAACTGGTGGGGTCTATAGAGAGTTATAGTTCAAGCAACCAGCTCATCTAGAGAGAGGTCGAGTGGATTTACTTCATTCACATGATTAAACTTGAAACCAGGTAAATTAGGTGTATTGGATATGTAAATTTTCTGTTCGTAGGCCTTTTTTTTCAACTCGACCATTTTCTCGCATGCCCGTTTCAGTGAACTGTATATCGTTCTATTTAGTTGTTCTGTAGCGGAGAATACTATCAGTTCCTCACGGAATCGAACACAGTATGTTCCAATATTGCATCAAATAAATCAATACTCAATAATAGTAATTTATCGACCGCAGTGAATCTATGGCATAAAACAATTACCGTCCATTAGGTATTCTTATTCACTTCCTAGTTAGTGAAAATCAATACGAACTACCATACAACAGAGACAACAGTAGATCCATCAGAGAATTAACAGAAAAATACTTAGGTCGTCTTAGTTTCCTAACAAGATGTATTTATGATGATTAGAAGTATACGAATTAACGTAAAATCCATGAATTACCGAAATGGTACAATTAACTCTATGTAGAACTAGATGAACACAAATAAACGTATTTTATTTGGAATCTGTAACCAGCGGGCCACTGAATACAGATCTTTAATGACCTTTATTTATTGTAACAAAAACATTTTATTCATTTTAATCATCTTATTATATTCACTAAATCTATTGTTGTTACTCGTATTACGTAATCTAGTAATGTAATCTTTCTATTACGTCATCTTGGTTCACATTTCTTCACAGAATTAGTACTTCAACGAAAAACATTTTAATATATATACGATTGTACAGCTTGATAATAAATTCGTTGAAAAGAGATCCCTTCGCTGAACTTCGTGTTTTTAATTTTTAAATACAGAAGAATCATTAACTCGTACAAATACTACAATACGCTCTCACAAAACCAAATCAGCAAGCTACAAACATTCGACTTCACAGGTTTTGTTTAGATTTCATACTGTTTTCTCATACACAACTACGTCAGTGTATGAAAACCACTAAATTGTATTACATGTATTCAGAGGTCACTCAGTGATCAATAGCAAACGTGATAAGATATGCGTTTAATTTGACCAGCTGAAGTCCCTAAACCTTACACGCACTCAGTGGGAGGAAACTAATAATAGCAAAAACAAACAAAGTAAACCAACAACATCACCATGTATTTGGTGAACTAAGCGTCAAATATAGTTGAAATGGAGCATATAAAATTCAAGAAGGGTAATTATGAACTGATAATGAAATTTGGGATCTAGGGCAAGATGAAAAGTCATTATCTCTGTACCATTGATGTCAAGTTACGTCACTTATAATCGCCAATTATAGATTTCATTTGTGTAATGAATGTAAATCACAGCAAAGATAGCCCACTATTGACTTTACAGACCTATTTCATTTCTTTATTCGGCTTTGTCAAACTTTTCCTAGCTTACTTCTACAATAAGCATCATAGCAAGTCAGAATATTCGTTGACTAACTTTGTGTAGCACTTGTTCCAGTGGTTTCACTCTTTTCATAGTACCATCAATCAACCACTTTTACCTGGTATCCTATGCCCTATCTCAACATTGTTGGTCTAGTAATGTAATGAACATGAGTGCAACCTTCGTAGGCAAATTCAGATGACAGCCCACCGTAAGCTTTGATTCAACCAGTGGTATATAAGTAAAGAGCGTTTAAATGATATCTGTACCTATTTAATTCACCTTTCAACATCATACACTTCCACAACGTCTCCCAGTCTACATAGTTGAGTGCCAGTATCATTGCAAGAAAGGTGGTCACAGTCACACTCTAGTAGATATGCCTATGTTTCCGAATCTACTAGATAGTGAATATCGGATCTATGAACCTAAAGTTGGTTAGGAAACCCATTTGATTTTCCCGAGTGTCCTGTCATTGAGCTCTGACTGAATGTGGAAAACTTATAGAAGCTAACATTTTAGAAACTGAGTGATTCAAACTAGTTATTCTGTGGTCCACTCAATAGGATATAAGTCATTTATTTAAAACCAGGATGACTAGCGATCGACACTGATTAGATCGAACAATTTTCAACTTCCGCCATCATTCTTAATCTTAGTCAATCTTACTTGTATTATTAGGTCGCTTTATGTAAAGATTACTGGAATAAATTAAATAAACCTAATGTTCTCGTGAGCTTCAAGCTAATTAGTATTTCCCCTGCTACAATTAGATCTGAAAGCCGTATATCAATCTTATATCCAGGTTGTTTGTGAATTGGTTGAAGTTAGACATTAACACCATTGGATACCGGCTCAATGGTCTAGAGGTTGGGTGCTCGCGCGCGAGACCGAAGGTCCTGGGTTCATATCCCGAAAGTGGGGTCGTGGGTGCGCACTAATGAGTAGTCTCGTACTAGAAAGAAACGGCCGTCCGGTGCATTCAGGTTTTCCATGGTGATATAGCTTTGATTGACTCATGAATTCAGCTACTTAATTACTACAATCTCCACAAAACCCTCTTTCTGATAAATACAGGTTTGTTAGGGATCAGGTTAACAGTTTCTAAAGTGACTTCACACTCACTTCAGTTATGCAATCTGAGAGTGGATCACTAATCAGGCTTCTTCGACTACAATTTCAATAAAACTCGGTGTTATAACTTCTATCTGTTTATGATTTAAGTAGTATTATGTGGCATTACTGCCGTTTTCATTGCTTTTCTTTCAATTATTTATCACTAACAAAGATCATTTGACACATCAGGTATGGATTAATTTTGATAATCAAATGCTCATTTCATTCGATAGCCAATGACCTAGAGTATCAGTATCGCACCCTCACTATTGTATATAATGACTTTCACTAATATATTTTGCTGTCAAATATTTTGTGCATGTGTACCAGCTTGTTAGAAAAAAAAGTTTTTGGTCAGTATTCTGTCCTTATATATTCGTTCATTTGAATGTTATGTGTAGATGATTTAATTTTTATAGGTAATTATTGCCCAACTCCGCCTGTAGCTCTTCTAGGGTGAACGCCAGTCCCAAGCCCAAGTAAAGGAGGAGGGTTGAGCATCAGGTCAGCAACTCATCCCGTAAGAAATAAACTCATTAAAAAGTCCCTAGTCAGAAAAAATGTATCGCCCAACTACAGGTCACGTAAATTCAAGCGATCGATCACATGTTCACACAACTTACTTACTTACGCCTGTTACTCCCAATGGAGCATAGGTCGCCGACCAGCTTTCTCAAACCTACTCTGTCCTGGGCCTTCTTTTCTAGTTCTATCAAATTTTTGTTCATTTTTCTCATGTTTATCTCCATTTTTCGGAGTAATATATTCTTTGATCTTCTTCTTCTCCGTTGACCTTGAGGACACCGGGTGAGCGCTTGCCTTGTGAGGTAGTTGGGTGCTTTTCTGAATCCATGTCCTATCCACTTCCAGAGCCTCTTCCTGATTTCTTCATCCACTAAAATCTGGTTTATTGTCTCCCACAGTAGCTTGTTGCTGATAGTGTCTGACCATCGGATCCGAAGTATTTTGCGTAGACAGCTGTTGATGAACACTTGTATCTTTTGGATAATGGCTTTCGTATTTCTCCACGTCTCCGCCCCATACAGTAGAACTGTCTTCACATTTGTATTGAAAATTCTAACCTTGGTGTTGATTGACAATTGTTTTGAGTTCCAGATGTTTTTCAGTTGTAGGTATGCTGCTCTTGCTTTGCTGATACTCGCCCTCACATCTGCATCTGATCCACCGTGTTCATCAATGATGCTACCCAGATATGTAAAGGTTTCCACATCCCCCAAAGCTTCCTCGTCAATTGTGATTTGATTGATGCATGTTGTGTAGAAGAATCTTGCATTTCCCTTTGTGTATGTTGAGACCTACTGCTGCTGAGGCTACTGCTACACTGGTAGCTTCCTCCTGCATTTGTTGTTGTGTGTGTGATTAAAGAGCTAAATTATCTGCTAAGTCTGAATCGTCCATCTGCATCCTAGCTGTCCATGTATTCCGTGCTTCCCTCCAGATGTTGATGTCTTCATGATCCAGTCGATCATCAGGAGAAAGAGAAAGGGTGAGAGTAAGCAACCTTGCCTAACACCGGTCTTTACCTCGAATGAGTCGGTGAGTTGTCCTCCGTGGACGATTTGACAGTTTAGTCCATCATAGGAGTTCTGTATGATATTTACTATCTTCTCAGGCATGCCGAAGTGTCGAAGAAGCCTCCATAGTGTCGTCCTGTCCACACTATCAAATGCCTTCTCGTAGTCGATGAAGTTGATGTAGAGTGATGAATTCCATTCAATTGATTGTTCCACAATGATCCGCAGAGCTGCGATTTGGTCTGTACACGATCGATCCTTACAGAACGTTCACACAAACCAATAGTATTTTTGCTAACAAATTCATTAGGTTAAGGTTTCATCAGCCTACGTTAAAGTTGACTCCAGACATTAATATATACTCAAAAGTGTTCAATTTCGCTGACAAATTGCAGACAATTTAAAATTATCATATCTATTTTCATGTTCGTTTTAAAGATGAACGACAAAATGAAATTTAGGGAGATTCTCACTTCCGTATTGAGGAGTGTTTATAATGAAACAGAGATTAGGATGGAATCGAAACCAAGAAAAGTATACATGCGTTTAGTTCTGGTATGGAATTTCTTAGTCTGCCAGTACCCCCTGGTTTCTAGTAGTTATCAAGGTAAAGCCAGTTTATGATATAAGCTACAAATTTACCAACTTATCAATATCTTCAATGCTAATTACTTGTTTATTACACAATGAAACATCGAAAAATATTTTACACCATAAAATAATTTCATTTGAATGTGAGTTTCTAAAACCAACTGAAGATGCCACAGGTATTTGTAGTTTGACAACATATTAACCAGCAACACCTTCTACTATTAAACCGTACCCACCTAGTGAAATTGGAAGTCAGAAGAGAGAAGGTTCGGAGATATATATGACAGGTTATCAATGTATCGAGAAGTGACTGATCTAAACTGGATAGCGATAGCAGGAGAAGTTGAGCACGGCGTTCCAAACCGTGATCTGGTGCGGATGCATGACCGAGCGCCTCCAGATAGGTGAGTCCATTAAAACTATTGTGGTCAGCATGCAATGTCGAAGACCTACATAGCTATTGATTTTGGGGATTTATTTACTGCTACACAACCTTCCAACAGTGTGTTTAACTACGTTTGGTTTGGAATAGTTTTTTGTACACCGAATTTTCAAGAACACGATCTATATAGTATCGCAAGAAGTAATAATAAATTATTCATCAAAATCAATAATTTTCTATTTTTACAGAAGACATTCAACTTCTTGATGTTTTTCTGTTATAGATATCCTCAAAGTTAGTTGAATCATTAAAATATTAAAGGTCAGTTTTTTTAAATAGTGTGAAGTCGTATTGTGCATACTTTTCTCCAATTGATTAATTTTGAAACCGACAGAAATTAACTCATGGACGTTGTAATCCAATTAAGCGTAGGCTGAAGATGGAGTTATATACTGACATCAGCTAGTCATTTTGTAGTGGCCTACTTTTATGACGAGAAGGCGATTGGTATAATGGAGACATTTATTATTATAACCAATTGTACCAGTGTTTGTCTTACTGTACTTGTTTGTTTAACTGTAACAAAGACACTTTTCCCTCCGTTGCCTGTGACCTTGCACGAACGCGCTTACGCTCTACAGTTCCACCAATAAACTTTGGCACGTCTCGGCATTCTTTCGATACCACATGATCGCCATCAAATATATATTATTGCAACTATTAACAGCCTTCTGGTTTTTGGCCTACCGAGGGATCCACGTCGATACCTGACACGTAATCTTCACGTAATGATGATCATAGTCAATTGCGACTCGATGCCATCTACAATTAAACTATGTTTGTTTTATGACAAGAATATGATGGTAAGATGCAAAATCGAAAAGAATTACGAAACGAATACGAATATCCTACTGTAACGGACTTCTTACAATACATCGCCTAAGTTATCTAACCATTGATTATGATTATCGTGCAGATGTCAACCAGAACTCTAGATCTCCTACCACAACTCAGTCCAATATTTATTGACTTCATAGACATATGCCATATTCTCCTCACAGAATCCATTGTTATCTACCACTAACTAGTATAAATTGAATTATGAAAATGAAGCCGAATCCTATGGAATCATTTGTTTTATTTGAGAAATAACAGTCAACTAATGATTACGCGAGACATACAATTTCATGGTAGCAAAAACTAGTTTGAAAAGACAAGACGAATTAAATCGAACAACATATTACTACTTATAACAAACAAGAATCCACACGGAGATGCACACATGTACACATAAGAACATTAACGAAAAGTGATGTAAGCAAAGATGAACCAATAAACAAACAGCACAATGTAAGGGTGATGTATTTAGTATAGTATTCAAAATTTAGAAAAATAACTGGCTTTTCGACGAGTACTTTGGAATGAATAAATTTTCAGTAAACTTTGAATATTTATTGTCTGAAAATGTATGACTTTTGATAAAAACGAAATTTTATTGACATGTTTAGTAAGTTGTTATCTCTAACAGAAAATGAAATGATAAAAACCTCATATTATGATGTATAAATATAGGAAAAGTTTGTATCCTGAAGGGAAAAATAACGTCTCCGGGTAAATCTATTACAAGGAAATTATGTACTTTATCATACTTCAAATGTACTTCAAAGACTTCAGTGTATATTGGATGACATTACAAACGACCAATGATACTATTTATTATGTTGGAAAATGATATGAATGATTGTTCAATTCCAAAAGATAATCTAATCTGTTACACAAATCACTTTGACAGACAACATGTATAAACACAATGGAAATAATGATTAGCATTAAATATTGGAGTTGCTTTAATTCTCGGTCCACAACAACTTACTTACTAGCTGCCTGTGATTTCTCTGATTGTATCGGTGTTGGTACAGTGGTTGTAGTTGTAGTGGTCAATGTTGCTTCTCCGCTGGTGGTGGTATTTGTTGTTAGATTACTGAAGTCATCGGCAAATCCATTATTGACACAGTCGATAATGTGTTCATCTAAATCACTGCAACCAATCAATTCACCTGAGCTGCCACTCGTATTCAACGCTTTCTCTCCACCATTATTATTATTATCGTTATTATTCTTTTTATTACTATCACTATCAAAGAAAGGATTTTCGACTTCGATTTCACCAGTCTATTAAAATAAGTATTAAGAAGAAGCCATTTAGTTTAATTAAATTATCTCAATGATAGTTTGATAGAGTGCGATAGAATTTAGAAGTCTACTGTTACGGGTATTCAATCGAGTTGGAAGTTTTGATTAGATAGATGCAGTAATGTCTCAACCAAGCCAGGTGTCTTCAAATGTTTGACAATATAAAGTAAGTGAAACTGTTTGCTTTTTTATCTGGGTAACAGTTAATTGACTGTCGTCTTTACTATGTGCTATCGTAGAACACCAGGCTGTCTAGTTCAACTGACTTCTTAATGAGGTAAAAGTATGGCATGGTGTTTGTTACTGTCAAATACTATTTTCAATAGTTGATCAATTACAATTAGGACAGACATTATAACACTATGATGTAAACAAATATCGCTCTTGCCATAAAGCTGTGGCAGACCAAATATATAAATAACAAATATAGCAACAAACTTATTAAATAATATTGTATTGAATCAGGTAACGATACAAAATCTAAAACTACACAGGTAAAATTTGAACTTTCCTTGTTAACTGCTGGGTATGGTGTGTTGGATTGGTCACTAAGTCTACAATTATAACGTATAATCAATAATTCCAACTCCGCCTGTAGCTCCTCTGGGGGTTACTGCCGGTCCCAAGCCCATACAAAGGAGGAGGGTTGGGCATGGGGTTAGCGACCCCATCCCGTAGAAAATCAACTCGCTAAAAAAACGCTAACCAGAAAAAATCATTCAAACCTTTCAAACTCTGCCCTGGGAGTAGAAGGAATAATTATGACGTCTCATGATGAAATCCGAGTTCCTTCGGAAGTCATGAGGCCGATGCACCTTCTTACAACCAGAGCGACAATTTTTATAGGTACATGGAATGTCCGGACAATGTGGGAGACCGGAAGAGTCTTCCAAATTGCTGCAGAAATGAGAAAATACAACCTGGAGGTTCTTGGAATCAGCGAAACACATTGGACGCAGGTTGGACAACAACGACTGTCTTCAGGAGAACTTCTGTTATACTCCGGTCATGAGGAAGAAAATGCCCCACATACACAAGGAGTTGCATTGATGCTGTCCAGAAAAGCACAAAATGCACTTATAGGATGGGAATCTCATGGACCAAGGATCATCAAAGCCTCCTTCAGAACAAAGAGAGAGGGCATTACAATGAACGTCATCCAATGCTATGCGCCTACCAATGACTACGATGAAGACGCTAAAGACCAATTCTACGATAGGCTGCAGTCGATCGTCGAGAAGTGCCCAACCAAGGACCTGACCATTCTGATGGGAGATCTCAATGCTAATGTTGGAATGGACAACACTGGATACGAAGACGTCATGGGACAACATGGACTGGGAGGAAGGAACGAAAATGGTGAGAGATTTGCAAACCTATGTGCCTTCAATAAACTGGTCATAGGTGGCACCATATTCCCACACAAAAACATACACAAAGCCACTTGGATTTCACCGGATCACACTACACAGAATCAAATCGACCATATCTACATCAACAAAAAGTTCAGGAGGACGATGGAGGATGTGAGAACCAGAAGAGGAGCTGATATAGCATCCGATCATCATTTGCTGGTCGCCAAGATGAAACTAAAACTTAAGAAGCACTGGACAACGGTGCGGACAACATCACAAAAGTTTAACACGGCCTTTCTTCGAGATGCTGACAAACTCAACAAATTCAACATAGCCCTCAGTAACAGGTTCCAGGCCTTTCATGACCTACTCAATGGAGAGGGGACTACCATGGAGAGCAACTGGAAAGGTATCAAGGAGGCAATCGTTTCAACGTGTCAAGAGGTTCTGGGCCAAAAGAAGCACCATCACAAGGAATGGATCACTGTTGGTACAATGGATAAGATTGAAGCAAGGAGGAACAAGAAGGCAGCAATCAACACCAGCCGAACCAGAGCGGAAAAAGCCAAGGCACAAGCCGAATACACAAAGGCAAACAAGCAAGTGAAGAGGAGCATCAGGACCGACAAACGTAAATATGTGGAAGATTTAGCGATGACAGCGGAAAAGGCTGCAAGAGAGGGAAACATGAGACAACTGCATGATACAACAAAGAAACTTGCTGGAAATTACCGTAAACCAGAAAGACCAGTGAAAAACAAGGAAGGCAAAGTAATCAACGATATTGAAGAACAACGAAACAGGTGGGTAGAACACTTCAAAGAACTCTTGAATCGACCAGCCCCACTGAACCCACCCAACATCGAAGCAGCACCCACGGACCTCCCAATCGATATTGGCCCACCAACAATTGAAGAGATCAGCATGGCCATTAGACAAGTCAAGAGTGGCAAAGCAGCGGGACCAGACAACATCCCGGCAGAGGCACTGAAAGCAAATGTAACAGCAACTGCCAAGATACTCCACATCCTCTTCGGTAAGATTTGGGACGAAGAACAAGTACCAACAGACTGGAAAAAAGGACTTCTGATCAAGATACCAAAGAAAGGTGATCTGATCAAGTGCGACAACTACATTGGCATCACTCTTCTCTCAATACCAGGGAAAGTCTTCAACCGAGTATTGCTAAACAGGATGAAGGATTCCGTGGACGCCCAACTTCGAGATCAACAAGCTGGATTTCGTAAGGATAGATCGTGCACCGATCAAATCGCAACTCTGCGGATCATTGTGGAACAATCAATTGAATGGAATTCATCACTCTACATCAACTTCATCGACTACGAGAAGGCATTTGATAGTGTGGACAGGACGACACTATGGAGGCTTCTTCGACACTACGGCGTGCCTGAGAAAATAGTAAATATCATACGGAACTCCTATGATGGACTAAACTGTCAAATCGTCCACGGAGGACAACTCACCGACTCATTCGAGGTAAAGACCGGTGTTAGGCAAGGTTGCTTACTCTCACCCTTTCTCTTTCTCCTGATGATCGACTGGATCATGAAGACATCAACATCTGGAGGAATCCACGGGATACAGTGGACAGGCAGGATGCAGCTTGACGATTTAGACTTCGCGGATGATCTGGCTCTTCTATCACAAACGCAACAACAAATGCGGGAGAAAACGACTAGTGTAGCAGCAGCCTCAGCAGCAGTAGGTCTCAATATAAACAAAGGGAAAAGCAAGACTCTCCGATACAATACAATATGCACCAATCGAATCACACTTGACGGAGAAGCTTTGGAGGATGTGGAAACCTTTACATATCTGGGCAGCATCATTGATGAACACGGTGGATCAGATGCAGATGTGAGGGCGCGGATCGGCAAAGCAAGAGCAGCATACCTACAACTGAAAAGCATCTGGAACTCAAAACAATTGTCAATCAACACCAAGGTTAGAATTTTCAATACAAATGTGAAGACAGTTCTACTGTATGGGGCGGAGACGTGGAGAAATACGAAAGCCATTATCCAGAAGATACAAGTGTTCATCAACAGCTGTCTACGCAAAATACTTCGGATCCGATGGTCAGACACTATCAGCAATAAGTTACTGTGGGAGACAACAAACCAGATTCCAGTGGAGGAAGAAATCTGGAAGAAGCGGTGGAAGTGGATTGGGCACACCTTGAGGAAATCAGCTAATTGCGTCACAAGACAAGCCCTCACATGGAATCCTGAAGGTCAACGGATAAGAGGAAGACCAAAGAACACATTACGCCGAGAAATAGAGACAGACATGAGAAGAATGAACAAGAACTGGATAGAACTAGAAAAGGAAGCCCAGGACAGAGTGGGTTTGAGAAAGCTGGTCGGCGGCCTATGTTCCATTGGGAGTAACAGGCGTAAGTAAGTAAGTAAGTAATCAATAATTCCTAAGTATAGCATATATTGCAAACATACCATATATAATCCAGTAATGAGAAGAATATGATCTGTGAATACACATAACAGTTAAATTAACGATCTGTCAATGTTGCAACCGACCAAATAAGAAAAACAATAGTATAAGATGGTATGATATTAAGAACGACAATCATTATACCAAGAAAAAGGATTGTGATTACCAAAAATATTCAGGGTCATATGTAAGCAACGATTTTCTATAGTCAGTAACTATGATTATTTAAATCGAATGGAAATATGAAAAGTGTGAATAATAACAAAAATTATTTAAAAAACACGTCTGTTGTGAATTCTAATAGAATCTATACAATTTGGTATCGGTGAATATTTCAGAGTATGAGAGTGGATGTGAAGACGTACCTTGAATTTTCACAATTTATTTGATTGATATTCAGCCAAAGAAATACAGATTTCAATTAATCAATGACAAATATTGTTTAGTGCTCGTAAGATATACATTGTGAACAGGAAACAACAGTTGCTTATTTTAGATGGACTGGAATAAAGTTTCTTGGAATTGATCAAAGTAACAAAAACATTATTTAACCAGTCAGTAATGTACTCAAGTAATCAGTCAAATTTGCACTGTGTCAAATAAGGTACTGTCGACATGTGCAAAACTGTACGTGTTTTACTGTTTATGAAATTATTAATGAAAAGCCTACAATCAAACGTCTCATTGTAATGTAATTTGAGAACTTCCTCTACAACTATTCTGTGACTTGGAGATGATCACGACATAAACGCGAACCAGACACATGGTATCATTACATCTTACAACCATGTTCACAATTCCCGTACATAAGTCTAAGATAATTAGCCTTTAAACAAATAATGCAAAATATCATTTTGAAAACATGTTCTCAACTAATAGCATACTTGACTCGTTTAAGAAACATTGGTACTAAACAGGGAAACAAGTTACTTTCGTACAGCAAAACACTTCAAGATCTACCACTGAAGTTAGAATCAGTAAGTTGGATCACGATAAATAGTGTTTATACAATTATCGTGAACAATAAATGTGTATACACATAGACCACGTGTCATCTTACTCTGTATTTTTCGATGAAAATTATCATTCACATTATGTTGAAGAATGAAGATCGAAATCATTCAAGGAATATTATCTAAATCACAATTTGCTAACAAAGACATGTAATTCCAATAAAAGAGACATGGATAAAGGAGTTTGTGAATTCCGACGGGTCCGGAACCCTTTCAGTTGCCCCATGAAAAGAATATACAACAATTCATATCACAAATCTCCAGTAAAACATGTCCATATATTATTAATCGGATTAATTTCAACTCAAAAATCAATAACATATGTTTGATTAGCCATAAACAAGTGACCTAATGTTAAGTAAATTCTCATCCAAGCGTTGTGTATGATCATTCATTTTCTTTCGTACATTAAATGAATTACCTGACTTTTTAAGGTCTCACTATTGTTTCATGAGAAAAAAAAAATAAAAATCACCCGAATATATGTGTACTTTCGTGTTAGTCCTACTAATTAATGTTTTACGATTAAACAAGGTGCCTTCATACTGAATAATCAATACGATGTGATATCAAGGTCAGAAGTACAACATGATAATCTGATTTGAAAGTGCTAATCGGGGCGAACAATCTTTTTTCGGAACAGGTTACGTGTCAAGGAAATTTAAAACTGACAGTTGAGGGAAATGTTGTCCGAATTCCACCAAGATTGATATTATTTTCGGCCTAAACTAATCACTCATCAACGATCTGCTACCATCTACCTGAATATTTCTTATCAATTTTGATTATGGTATATATTTCGTCTCACACAGTATGTGTAATCAAAACGTGCTTACTCGAACGATACTAAATTATAGGTATTTGACTATCGAAGTTGAATGACTCGAGTGTCGATATGAAAACATGGAATCACTCGTTAAAAGTTATGACTCGAAGTTGAGATGATGAACAGTTCTGACAAGAACGAATCAATTTAGTGAAAATGACTACTTTAGCTTCTTTTGGAAAACATCAAGGAAGGATAGCATGGAGCTGTGCAACGAATGCGGTTGGGATTAATGTCAATGACAAGATGGAATTAGAATTCACTTTATTTCTCATATCAGCCATCCCCACAGCTTTTACATTGTCTTAACTATCTAGTAAGAGAAACACAATTAAATAGGATAACAAACACAAGCAGAAGAGCTAATTTGTTACCCAAGTAATATATTAGAGACTATTATACATACATATGTACATTTGCAGCAACTGACACAAAAATAGTAATAAACGTCAGAAAAACTAAAAATTGGTGACTACCATAATTCATAAAAGAACAATTAAATCCTTCTGAATGATGGAGGTGTTCAACATGATTCTGTCCACAAATGAAAAACTGGTGAAATGTAATCGGTTGAAATTAAAAGACACAGACTTCTTGTTTTTGTCTGTTCACAATTGTGATAATTTCGTGACGGGCATTTCAAATTACTATCAATCATCTGTCATTTTGGTGACACAACACAAACAATAATGGTCGCATCAAACGGAAACAGATCAATGACTATTGTTTGTCTGCTGGACACTCATTTGACTAGTTGATTATGATCTATCTTCTTAATATGTGTGAAATAATGGTATGAGAGTTTGTGAATCACGAAGTAAGTGTAAAATTGGTATCCTGAGGGGAAACGAAAAAGAGGCAGACCAAAGAACACACTGCATCAAGAATTGTAAGCAGACATCAAACGGATGAATAGGAACTGGAAACAACTGGGAAGAATTTCCCAGAACAGAGTTGGATGGAGAATGTTGATGGATGGCCTATGCTTTACCATGAGGGGTAACAGGCGTAAGTAAGTATGTACTTGATGAGAATTTGGATCGAATGTTGAATTTTCATGCCAGTTATTTGGTCTAGTTGTGAAGCACTTGTTGCCAAACCTGAAGGTACTGAGTTTGATCTTCTGTGGGTTCGTGTAAGCGCACCGTTGAGGAACCGCATACTATGATGAAACAGCTTTTATGTACTTCCTTGTTTTCAATAGCTGTCTAACTGAGATCAATCCGTGATGAAATCTATGAAAATGCATGAAATGAATGTCCAAACTTCGAACGCGGAAGTTAAACTGAATCTTTCCGAAACTTATTAAGATCTTTTACAGGATATAGTGAGAGCCGATCAGGTGTAATATCGGCGTTACGTTGTTCTGATAATACTTTTTATTTTTAGGTTTTTTAAACGAATTACGAATTAAGGTCAATCAGTAAACCATGTACAAACATTGTATACATTTTAGTTTGGTTACTTTGTAGTTTGTGTATTCACTGGTAAATAAACAGAGTGAGCGTCTCAAGGTCATACGCAAGGTTGCTAAATTACAATAGTATAACATAATTTCGCTTTAAGTTAACACCTTGTGGCTTTTTGTGTAACATGTTTTAAACTACATTCGTATTATTCTGATATAAAAAGGATTGTTAACGGTTCAAAATTTCTAAAATGATTGTAGAGTTTTTTTATCGACTGATTGTTCTCTATTTAGATCGTACAATATTCTTGTTCTAACAGGTCATCATAATAATTCACGTACTGGTTTTTTGATGTAAATCTACCAGCAGTTGAATTTTATAATTCAACTAATAGAAATAAAAAGAGTACAAAATTAAAGTGAAACTTTTCTTGACAAATAAATAACTCCGGATAGAAACAAAGAGAACATTTTCACTATTCTAATATTATTTTTATATCAATGTATGAGTAGTAAAATATCATCATTTCTGTTAGTATTAGTATCATTACTATGATGATGATGATAATAATAATGATGAAGAAACTTGTAAATTAACTTAATCTATATATCAGTCTTTGAAGATTGACTAGAAATTCTGTGATGGAAAGCGAGAATTATCATTCGATACAGATGATTAACCGTACTTTCAGTTCACTGTACAAGTGTAACATGCAAAGCACTTTTTATGGTGATAATTGGTTGGACCTCTTATTTTACTCAAACTAGATGTAAATGAATTCTATTTACCAATTTATTCATTTATTGAATAAAGCTATTAGGAAACCCTAGTGCCATTTGTGAATGACTTAATATACCTTGTTATCAATGTAGATTAAAGATAGAATCAATGAGATATTTTCTTCAAATCCATACATGTTTCATTAGGTGTGTATAAAATGCTGTATTCCGTTTTGAAGTATAAAACGTCTTTTTTATTTAATAAACGATATAATAACATCACTTATTGTCTTTAAAAGACTTGGCAATTACAGATAACGCTAAGGAGAGATACACCATATTCTAGAGTATTTATAATTTCCTTGATGATGATCGACTGACGGTTCATTTTCTTCTAATAACATGAAACACATTATTTGCTTTCACTTAACTTTATGATGTTTCTAGAATTTTTAATTAATCTTGTCAATATCTTAAGAAACACCTTAAATATGTTGAATAATGGACGATTGAAATCCCCAAGTGATTTATCAATAAAATGATAGAGATCTGACTAACTTACATTAGCGAGCCCTGGACATTCATAAACTGTAAAATCTCCATCATCCACATCATCTTCACTGTCATCTTCATCACTTATTCTAGTATGATCATTAACTCTGAAATTTGGATAGTTTCAAATAGAAAAAAACAGCAGTACAGAAATAATGAGTTATTGAGTAGTTAGAAAAAATTACTTTATTTCACTTTGGTTAGATATATTTACAGACCAAATTATCTGATTCTATGATATGTGATAATAATTAGTTATGCTGTGGTTAGTTTTTAAGATGATAAGAAAATTTCTTAATAAAAAAAGTATTCTCGATACACCTTACTGATATACCGATTGTATTGAGTGTCCTGTGATAAGACCGCCAATTAGAAATGAGTGAATTATCGATCAGAGCAATGATACATAAAGCCGTATGAGCAGTCTTGAGCACTAATCAGTCCTGCTATCTGTCTAGCCCAGCCAATTAAGTCAAGAACACCAATAACAGCTTCTGCAATATGAATCATTATTCTCAAACATACTGGGTTTATATACCAAACAAACTGACCGCATTGTACCATAAAATAGAAAATAACATTTGTACAAGATTTGGCCAAATGTGGCTGTGAATAGGGGGAACAGTAATTAATAGACTAGGGATAACTCAAGAATGGCAAATCGTATAACAATAGTTTATAGTTCAAAATAAAGCTCATGATAAAGGGAACATGAATACGAATAGTTTAGTTATTTAGCAATTATACGATAAATATATGCATAATATTGGTTCATAAATAGATCCCAAAGTTACCTTTCGTTATCCTTATCGGGGCATAACATTTACTAACTGTGAAATATGTTGTTCGATGTGAAAGAATGAGATGAAATTAATATCACTTGTCATTAATGCATATAACTATAGATAAAAAGTCAATAAAAAAGGTAATAACCACCATTTCTCTGACAATGAGCTCTAATACTGTAAGTCGTATTAGATAAGTCAATGAGAAACATAGTATCATTAAATGGAAATGTAAGTAGTAAATGGAATCCGTTATGTTACTGAGGAAGTGTTAAGGACAATCTAGTGCAGAAAATGTATTTATCTATGCTGTCTATAGATTTTCATTACCGTATGCATTGAAGAGCGTACCCTGGGAATATAGAGGATTGACATTCAGTCACTTCATGCCCCATGACTCATGTTGTCATCAGAATCAAAAGTCTTATATTAAGTTTTCATGCCAGCAGAGCGACCACCGAAGTTCGTTATATGGTCGAAGTCATCGTTAAAGTAGTTTTATTCATTTATTTATTTGAACACATAAACATTGGTACAAAGGGGCACCATAACGGACTGTTAACAGGGATCCAATCGGTTGGTGCTGCATCAGCTCTAGCACTACTTCATGTGACACTAGTGCCTGCAAAAACAGACGAAGATGCCACGGGGTCCCTGGATAAATGAACGTGAAACGAGCTTTTCGAAGTGACATATGGAGAGCGAATTTGCAGTACTTCACTAGATTCTTAAATACAGGTCTCCCATAGACAGAAGACATCAATTTTAAGACTTTCTAAAGACATAGGCGACCCTATCTATTGTCGGATCAGCATTAGTGTGCGAACGTTGAAGGAGGTCAGTTTGAATAGCATACGTGGTTTCAGAAGTACTTTTTCGGTATTTGTAGTCGGTGGTCAAAGAAGAGGGTAAGTTGAATAACTTTATGAGTTTGTTTTCTTTAGGACACAAAAATGTGAAAGTCCAGATTTTACTTACCCAAAGGTGGTGATCGGCTACTGGACAGTTCTTCAAAGGAAGCTACGTCATAACCATAAATGTAATTCTCTATCTTATGAATATAATTCATGGATGCAAAAGCTGACAAATTCAGACAAGGCAAAATTTCCTTTGCATTATAACACATTTTTTCAAAGCAGTATTATCATGAAGATTAAGTGCTTAAATCTCTGATCCACGGTAAATTCAGCTAATTTTCAATGGAAGAGATTAAGTGATTGATATACTTTTATTTAAGTGGTAATCATTTATGCTTATGAAGTCGTCACAATTTCAGTTTGAAGTTCAGTGATACCAGAAGTTAGTTTGAACTTTTCGGAACACAGTTAAAAGCTTCCTTCTGTTTACTTAACAGTTTAAATTATAATGTTTACCTAACAATTTTGTTGTCATATAGTTAGATGTGTTACTGAGGCCCAATCTAGATTCAGCTGAGTAAAATTTTTAATTCAAATGATTTAAAGTATAGAGAGTTTATCAAAATACTTGCTGAAGGAAATTTAGATATTCTAAAATTAGACTTGTTTATGAACATAATAGTTCAGTGATGTAATAAACATACTTTTGTCTGTACTAACAGTACAGCAGTAGGTAAGACTTAGTATTCTAGTTCATAATGTGTACTCTACGGTTTATCAATGATTATATATATAATATGTGATGAAAACCTATGTAAGGTTATATAATTTTATGGAAATCATTAAGTTCGGTAAACAAGTAATGGTGAAATTACGTGATATTAATGATGTGAGTGACACATTTTTTAAAGACTAGAAAAGTGAGGCCATAGTATATCACTTACTGTTAATTTATACAACAGTGTAATGCCATACCGGTGCGATGATTAGATTGTTGAAAGGAATCGACAGAGTTCTAAACTTAGATTTTGTGCAATTCAAACGCAATCCACCAGTGTCAAAACGATAACTGTAAGGTGAAATCGATCCAGCAATGAGAACAGTAAACGCCCACCACCACATTAACTCCCTTTGACTTTGCATGACTGCTTGATTAGTCATAGTTTTTATGTTTGCTATAAACGATATTAGTTTTACTGACTCATCTTTCCTATACTCCGTATGTTATTTATGTCTCCTTTTTCCTGTTTAATTGATTGAATTATCGTTTTTCTATTTACTAACAGTGTTAACTTGCGTCTTAAAATCGATAAAATATATCTAGCCAAATAATATACTTGTTTTGACCTTGGCTAAGCTAAAACCCTGTGCTCGACAGTCTAGGGAACAGATTAGAATTATGTCTGTAGAAAATTACTTCCTACAGTTACTATCGAGCTATCAAAGTGGTTTATTCTGTTATTTAAGTGATTAGTCACAATAACTGTAATAATAAAAAGACGGTCTCATCAGTTGAAAACATATTTTCACTACAAGCTTTTGTTTTTGACCAACATGTTGTAAACTAAGAAATATCAGTAGTATTTCATTTTTACCGTAAAATATCTCAGTTTTTAGAATTTCTGATCATCTTTATCAATTCACAGTACACAAGAGTTAGGTGATAACTATTTTCAGTTAGGGACAAATAGTAATATAGTGGAAATTTTTCTTCATTTAAAAGTATCATTTTGTATCTACACATTTTTCTACATTGTTAATGATCATACGTTTTTGATCGATTGAAAATTTGTGGGATCTTTTTTTAATGACTAAATTGAAGGCAATTTGTTTTCCATTTAAACAGAATCCTCTTTTATAGATTATCATTATCTGATATACTAGTGAAAATTAAAGAGCTGGGAATCACATAAACATGAAGTCAGTCAGTCAGCTACAACGTAGGACCAGGCACACATCTGCACTGGCCCAAGTTGCCATTACCTCGTGAGCACAACAAGATGGACACCGGATTCATAGAAATAGTTAATTTAGTGGTGGTAATATATAAAAGATAGGTTGTATATAAGGATATAGTATAGGAAGGAAGAAAGTTATGAAACAATTTTAACTTCACGGTTTAAGGGAAGATAAAGAGTGTATACACCTACGCCATTGTGATCGATTCTGAGCCATGTCATCTAGAGTCTCCAACCATTGATTACGATAGTCACGCGGACCCCAACCAGGTGGTCTGCATCCACCAACATGGCTCAGACTAGAAGTTAGTGACTTCAAGCAAGTAAGGACGGTTGTTCATTGATAATAACATTAAGAATTATTATTATTATTATTATTATTATTATTATTATGATGATGATGATGATGATGATGATGATGATGATGATGATGATGATGATGATGATGATGATGATGATGATGATGATGATGATGATGATGATGATGATGATGATGATGATGATGATGATGATGATGATGATGATGATGATGATGATGATGATGATGATGATGATGATGATGATGATGATGATGATGATGATGATGATGATGATGATGATGATGATGATGATGATGATGATGATGATGATGATGATGATGATGATGATGATGATGATGATGATGATGATGATGATGATGATGATGATGATGATGATGATGATGATGATGATGATGATGATGATGATGATGATGATGATGATGATGATGATGATGATGATGATGATGATGATGATGATGATGATGATGATGATGATGATGATGATGATGATGATGATGATGATGATGATGATGATGATGATGATGATGATGATGATGATGATGATGATGATAATGATGATGATAATGATGATAATGATGATGATGAAATAGTAACTCCTATATGGCTTGAATTAATTGCCTTTTTTAAAAAAAAACATGTATCATTTGAATATTATAATAATAATTTGTTTTTAGTGCTTTGCTTCGCCAATCGTTCACCTCGATAGCCGTTATGATACAAATCTTAACGGTGCATAAAATCAGAAGGCAAAGAGAAGCGGCAGCTACAGTTTTATTGACTCAGGCCAGAAAGTTATGAGCACATGAGTAAATATCAGCGAGTGAAGTAAAAATGACACACATTGGAGATGGTGGGTAAGCCAACTTATTTTAACCAAGAGCTAATCAATATTTATAGTTAGATAGAAATAAATGACAGACATGTGATAAATAGGATAAAAAGTGTACACACCCATACTCTCATATAAAAAAAATAGTCAAGGTTAATAAGTGAATAATTAACAAGGTCAAAACGTGACTCATGATGGATAGGTAAATTGTTTTGTCCAAAAGCTAGAATAAAGTATATCAGCTTAACATAACAACAGATACTACATGTTAGCTGAATAACAAATTTCTCACTTGAAAATTTGAGATTTGTCTATTTAGTGTTTGACTGTATTAATAGTATTTGTAGTAGAAGGGATATGAAATAAAACATCCTTATTTATTGCTATCTAGTTTAACAAATTTTTATTGTACATTCCTTCTTGATGAAAACTTTTGAATGTATACTTCATCCTATTGAATTCGAATAATAATTTTTGATAACATAATGTAAAATTACTTTCAATTTCTTGAGGTAAGATGGTGGTTGGAGGTGGTCAACAGGAAACCCTGGACCCGGGTTTCGTGCTACTTGGAACTCGTCAGCAAGGTGTACCTGTAATCCTGAGGGAACTGATGCTCCCTGGCGGATTCGATCCCGCGTCACTCAGCTTCACAGTCAGAGACGTTACCACTGAGCTATTCGGGCCGCGACTAACCTCTTGTAGGACTGAGATGTAATCACAATTGTGATTACAAGCAGTGTCGAGCCACCTAGACTGGTGGTCACATTGCAACTCGATCGATAGCATTCGATCAGCACTAAGAAGGACCTGACAGGCATGAGATTGATCACCACCCAGTGATCAATCAATTGTGATTACTTTCAATTTCTGTTTATCAATATTGAGAGGTGATTATTTCCAAGTTATATTTGAGTCATCAGTATATTTGGATTACAAATCTATCATCTCAATTATCCAGTGTGATATATTTTGTTTAAACGAATAATCTGTTTGAAAAAGTTGACTAAATATTAACTAAGCTTCAGTCTCGAAGTGAAACAGCTATATTGTTTAGTTTTGGCATTAAAGTCAACTGTCAGAATGATAGTTTTTTGTCAGTCGAATATTTTCTAAACCATTTATTAACTGAGATTTATTTAGAAGAAAAGATGGATGGTGTCTAGGAGTGGAATCCAGGACGCACGTATCGTCCTATTTGGGACTCACCAGCTGGATGTATCTGCATCCCAGAGTTGGTGCTCACTGCCGGACTCGAACCCAGTACCATTCGTTTCAAACGCCATCTCGTTATTCACTTAGTTACTGTTATAACGTATAGTTTTCTGGCGCCCTTATAATATATGTGAACGTGCAATGATACAGAAAATACGTACGAGCAGTCTTGGGTGCTATTCGGTCCTTCCTATCTGCCTAGCCCAGCCCGTTAAGTTCAGAACACAAATAACAGCCTCAGCAGTATGAATCATTATTTACAAGCATACTGGGTTATATATACTAACCAAACAGACCACATATATCAAAAATAGAAAAATAACATTTGTACAGTAATTGGCCAATGTGGCTGTAGCTAGGGGGAAAGTAATCAATAATAATAGTTCCAAGGTCAAAATAAAGGTATGATAAGAGGAACACGGAAACGATTAGGTCACTTATTTAACAACTATCCAATAAGGAATGGGCATATTGTATTTGTCCATAAATAGACCTCAGATTTAAGTCACTTATTTAACAACTATCCAATAGGAATAGGCGTATTACATTTGTCCATAAATGGACCTCAGATTTATGATTCATAATTCGCCGGGGGATACAACAGTTACTGAGTCCTGATAGCCACCTGCTTGTGCAATCGAATGAAGTTTAAAATTACTTGATGTGTGTTTGCTTGTATCATCATTTGAGGTAGAATCAAATGTAGACCGACTTATGATCATTGTAACCTAGTTGAATGGCTCCGGGTGTGGCCCTCTAAGAAAACCAACTGCTTCAGTTTGGGCGCTCGGATAGTATCACAGCCCTCATACAAACCAATGATAATTGCTACTGACTTCATTGTTATTGTGTTGTTCATATGTATATGGTGCCCTCTTGTACCAAGGTTTATGTTTTCAACTAAATACAAATAAATAATTTTTTTTTTATACCCTAGATGGAATGGACGCATTATAAATTAAGGCAGATAGACCATAATTTGTGTATTATATTGTTTAGAAAATTACAGTGTAGATGGCTTTTTTTGCATACATAAACATATAATTAGCATGATTTATCTGATGAAAGTTCACTTAAATTAACTATAAATCAATTTCCGTAGATATAAACACACGTAGAAGAGTGGGTGTGGGTTTTCAAGACTTTATTTATCTCTCATGTTCGTTGTGAGTGTCAGGTAAAAACGAGCATTTTCAAACATTTCATGTTTATTGTTGAAACTGAACTGGACATTAAAGGTACAACGTAACAATAATTATTTTAAGTGTTCAGTTGGAATACCTAGATCTATGTTGTTAAAGTCAATATACTTACAAATATAACATATCGTTTCCGTTAACGGTACACTAGTGAATAAAGAATTATTATTCACTAGTGTACCGTTAACGAAAACGATATGTTATATTTGTAAGTATATTGACTTTAACAACATAGATCTAGGTATTCCAACTGAACACTTAAAATAATTATTGTTACGTTGTACCTTTAATGTCCAGTTCAGTTTCAACAATAAACATGAAATGTTTGAAAATGCTCGTTTTTACCTGAATAAAGAATTATTATTCACTAGTGTACCGTTAACGGAAACGATATGTTATATTTCATGTTTAGTTTACTTTTTATCTTAATCGTTCAAATCACATAACAGCTAGTCGACTCATTTCATTTGTGATATGGTCAGCTTGAGTTTAATTGAATAGTGACAAGTAATCACATCCTGAAAGGGGTAATTATATGACTTAGTCAATTTGTTATATTGGTTTCTTTTAGGTATCGAATCAATCCTCAACTATAGTTTGTGTGACTGCTTATGTAATTCGATCCACCATTTCTAGTAGTCTGAACAATAACAAATAAGTATTCAGCACATACAATAATTACTTAACTATCCATATGGAATGGATTACAAATTACACATAATCAATATATTGTTTAATTACGTGCTGTACAGAGTTTGAACATTATATTAATTGTTTGTATCAAGAGATTGAATAAATTCAATATTGGTTTTACATTTAATCAAGCAAATCTATGTTAAGTGATACTTTTTGTGACTACTTGTGGTAAAGATACAGAAAGAAAAGTATAGGTAGAAAATTCTACTTATTGATCAGACACTGAATCTTAATTCTATATCAGCTGGAAAATCCTCATAGAACGAGGAAGAATGAAATAACTCTAGTTTGGAACTTCTCTAAAAGAGGGAATCTCCAAGCCAGATCGCTTGGAGGAGTAGGTGTTATAATGAACAAATCTTAATTCACTCAATGAATCAAAGTTTTTTTTGGTGGACTTATTTGAAGTTTTATCAATCCCTGAAAAAATATTGGATCCTGACTCAGTATTTTTGCTTATCTCTAATGAACTTATCCTTAAAAGTGATTAGTTTCTGTTGGAACTATAAGAAGTAAGGCTCTTAAACTAGTAATCGATGATGAATAGTGAATTTGTGATTATATTATAAGTTCCGCACTCCATTTCAGTGTTCTTGTTGTTCGATCGCTGTTCACGTGTCTGGAGTTCTTAATTTAAGCAAGGTTCAAAAGTTAAGGGCTTTCAATTCTTTTGAAATAAGTACTTCAAATAATGAAAGATGATTTTAAGCAAAGTTTCCATCAAGACAGAATATTACTTTAAATTTAGCCATATTCTGAATTAAAATTATGCACTATTATGTAAATAATTCAACTAGTCGGTGGAAAACATGATCGAAAGTATTCAATTATAAGATGTTACGTTCGGTTCGATAGACAACGTTATGAAACGTGTCATTATTATTATTACTATCATCAATTATTGGCTTTGTATTTTTTTACAACAGCTGTCAGACAGGTTTTCTCATCACATATCAACTGTATGTGAGGTGTATAGCTAATTTGTAACTAAACTCCTTAAACTAATTGCGATCATGAAGAATAAATTATTCATAAGACTGCTGTTTTTCATACAATTAATCTCGTAGAAAAAATGTTTTAGTCAGATATCCAAATAGATTATTTTAACTAGATATATTTTGTTTAAAACATTAACATCTTTGACTAACTTTTCTAGCGCTAACATTTGTTGCTTTTGATGTTGATAGTGATACATCTGTGCTGACTGTGCAAGTTTACGATCATCCTCCGAACTAAGTGACAGCATCTTGTCTGGTAAATTTGAATTCTCTAATGTAAATTCTTCATCTTGACTCAAGCGGGATTGCTTCCATAGTTTACGTCTTTATTAAAAAGGAACAAGATAAATGACAGTAGTTACATATAATGATTTGGCAAACAAGTGTGAACAATGAACAATGGATTTAGAGAAGATGGATTGATATTTATAGAAGTAACAGTGAAGGTTGAGACAATTGGTTGTTATTTTGCAAATTAATTGTTTGCTGTATGGTTATCAAAATATGGTGAGATAATCTGTAATTTGTGCTTAACTACATTCGATTGTCTCCACTCGTGTTCTGTTCACTATAAAAGCATAAACAAAATGACTTAGTTAGCAGAGATGGATAGTGGCTAGCAGTGGAATCCAGGACGCGGGTTTCGTCCTATTTGGGACTCGTCAGCTGGATGTACCTGCATCTCAGAGTTGATGTTCACTCTAGGACTCGAACCCAGTACCCTCGATTCAAACGCCATCGCGTTATTCACTCGGCCACTGAGTCCTGATAGCCACTTGCTTGTGCGATGGGGTGAAGTTTAAATTCAACTTAGTATCGATGGGAAGATTCAAACAAACAATACTAAGTTGAAAATGACTTAGTGCTGACGAAATCTTGAGTCATAATTAATGTAGTAGATTTTTGCATCAATTTATTTAATATTATTTTGCTATAGCGAAATGTACACATGAAAACATATTTCTGCACGAATTAGTAAGCAAGTGAACGAAATAATACAGTATTATATTTGGCGTCAGTGATCGTCGAATTTTGTATATGTTGAGAATTTAAGTGTTCCTAGTAAATCGAATGAAACTTTATGCAACAATGTATTTTGTGCTTATTATTTGGATAAAGTCAATAAATAGAATGCCATATATCTTGGTTTTGCACACTGCAGATCACCAAAGTTGCAATCAAATTACGATTATATAGTTGAAATCACGAGCACTGATGAGGAGTCCCACAATAGGACGAAAAGGTCGTCCAGCGCTTCCAGGTTTTCCATGGTGCTCTAGCTTTAATTGGCTAATGATTCCAACTATAAAGTTACTAAAATCTCCACGAAAAACCCCTTCTGAAAATAACAATTAATAGTCTTTCATTCATTCATACAGGATTTAATTAGCTAAAAGAGTAAACATTTCATTACAAATAAATATGATTTTATCTTGAATTATCAAGATGTTGATGGACAATCACTGCTTAGTTAATTATTTGAGAAGTCTTATTTCGAACATAAGTTAATTTTAATATTATGTAACGAACTAGTCAGTATCTCATTATGTTGATCTTGTATCTTATTATTATCAATACAGATGTATAACATAATTGGACTTGTGATCATCTCGCCCGAGTTTCAAACCTATCAAACCTACTATAGCAGCACACATACATCCTATTATTTCATGGATATTGTTGAACATATTTTAACAATATTAACAACCACAAGTAACGACATACATACAATTGTTATATTGCTGCGGTTTAGCATGTCTCTTCCGTGTTATAACATTATATCATTTGTTATTAGCATTATTACTGTTTATCTAATTTCCTTCCCTAATATATAACTTATTTGTGTACTACTCATTGTATATAAACATGTCTTCAAATAACGACACAAGCCTTCCACAAATGCTGTTTGAGAGGTCCCTTAATCTTACTATTTCTCCTTTTTAAGGTCACCGACCCACAACTTTGTGATATGGTTAGCTTGGGCTTAATTGATTGGAATGCGAGTAACGTATGAAACCGACAATAATTTTGACGTGGAAATGAAGGGCCTCACTAAAGTGGTGGACCCGGCGTGACGTCAGTTAGATCGGACAATGTTATCGACGGCTTGCCGGTCAGTTAACGATACGCCTTTTATCACAGTCTATTTTAGTAAGTCATATGGCTTTTCTGCATCACGTTTAGCTAGAACCTCTCGTCCGCTACTTCATCTAGAAGCAGTGAGCTTGCGTAGGCGAATTTATCTCGTTGTAAACGAATATGGCTAGCTAAAAAGTAATTTTCAAGACTAATAAACCGAATTTGTGACCTTAAAAAGAAGGAATAGTAAGATTAAGGGACCTCTCAAACAGCATTTGTGGAAGGCTTGTGTCGTTATTTGAAGACATGTTTATATACAATGAGTAGTACACAAATAAGTTATATATTAGGGAAGGAAATTAGATAAACAGTAATAATGCTAATAACAAATGATATAATGTTATAACACGGAAGAGACATGCTAAACCGCAGCAATATAACAATTGTATGTATGTCGTTACTTGTGGTTGTTAATATTGTTAAAATATGTACAACTATGTTCATGAAATAATTATCATGTAATGAAAATACGATGATTATAATAATAATCCACAGTAATAATTTCTATTGAGGTGGACTAGGTTGATTTTCGTATTTCGATAGAATCTTAGAAAGCTTTGTTGCGTTCGTACGTCGGGAATCACCAATTCTGTGGTGGTCGGTATTCGATATAATTCTTTAACTTTGTGTCCTGCTTGTCGTGATAACCATTACTAGATAACGCCCAAGGGTGAATAAATCAGAAGACGAATATGAAGCGTTGATTACGTTTATAAATCGCACCACACACAGATCACTAAAACCACAATCACACGAGGCAAGAATGATATGCGAATGCTGAAGAGCAGGCGAGCGAGTGAGTCGAATGAACAGGATTAAAATGTACGCATATTTATGCATAGACAAATGAATGAGTCATTGAATCACTTAAACGACTAACACTAAGGCTAGCAGAACGAATATGTGCATAGGCGGCAAGCGATGTCAAGCATACATGTCCATACAAGAGCAACAATAATAAAGGTACAGTAGCATAGGTAGGTTGTTATTGTACGAATGACTCTGTTACATAAGTTAACAAAAGGGCTTGACCAAAATAAATGTGAGCAAACTCAAATTTATGTGAGTGCTATTCTACGATCGACTGAGTAAACACAAGTATTGTTCAATGAACATTCGCAATAAATCAAAAAAATATTTTTTCAAATGTTACAAATCTTACTTCTGATAGGCTGTACCTATTGCTGCTATCACCAATACACCCAATGCTGCACAGACTGAACCGATGACTAGAAATTGAATGTTTTTAAAAAAAACATAACAACACAATGAGAATCTGTAATTTATGATAATTTCTGGTTGATAATTTAATATTAACAGTTGAATTCAAGAGTTGGTCTACGCTAAACTACCATTGAAAACCTAGAATCCCTTACAGTTATTTCGTCCCTGTATGGGGCCCTTCAGCAGTGCGTAACTATGATTCTTCACGCGGAACTTGAATTCAAGACCTTCTGTCTCGTGCGCGATCACTTAATCTTGATTAATAAACCCTATTTAGTCGAACATTTGTATATTCTCAACTTTCGCTAATTGTTGCAGTAATACATCTTTACTTACTTACTTACTTACTTACGCCTGTTACTCCCAATGGAGCATAGGCCGCCGACCAGCTTTCTCAAACCCACTCTGTCCTGGGCTTCCTTTTCTAGTTCTATCCAGTTCTTGTTCATTCTTCTCATGTCTGTCTCTATTTCTCGGCGTAATGTGTTCTTTGGTCTTCCTCTTATCCGTTGACCTTCAGGATTCCATGTGAGGGCTTGTCTTGTGACGCAATTAGCTGATTTCCTCAAGGTGTGCCCAATCCACTTCCACCGCTTCTTCCAGATTTCTTCCTCCACTGGAATCTGGTTTGTTGTCTCCCACAGTAACTTATTGCTGATAGTGTCTGACCATCGGATCCGAAGTATTTTGCGTAGACAGCTGTTGATGAACACTTGTATCTTCTGGATAATGGCTTTCGTATTTCTCCACGTCTCCGCCCCATACAGTAGAACTGTCTTCACATTTGTATTGAAAATTCTAACCTTGGTGTTGATTGACAATTGTTTTGAGTTCCAGATGCTTTTCAGTTGTAGGTATGCTGCTCTTGCTTTGCCGATCCGCGCCCTCACATCTGCATCTGATCCACCGTGTTCATCAATGATGCTGCCCAGATATGTAATACATCCTTAACAAGCCTTTAACTAACTGTATACTATTATACTGTTTTTCACTTCCTAACTCTGTAAATGGTTCGAATTACTTCGAATTAACTGGGTCAATCTTAAAGTAGATTTTCATTTTTACTCATTCAAGTCCGAATTGTTCACCACATGAGACCTGCATTATGTTAGAATTATATTTACTAAATACTGAATAATTCGATGACTCAGCTTATATAACTTTATTCCTCTGTGATCTCCCCAGTACGATGAAGTCGGTGTCAACTGACATGTATTATTGCTGAACGTTAGCTTTGCTTACAAAGACTGATTAGGCTCTAAATGCACCCTTTCTTCATACTTTACACAACCGATTTTCATCACGTAATTAATTGATTTAGAGAAGAGTTATTTACAATTTTGATACAAATTACATATCACAGACGGACAGGATTAATACGATCATTGAAAACCAGGGAGAAAAGGATGACGATTATGTTGTTGCTCGGATCTGCACAGTAATGAACACCTATAATGTCATTCGCTGGCGACGAAATACCATCATTTTTAATAAAACCTCTATTTTCACAGTACGTTAACCACAATGAATCTGACTTGATGTTCTCTAAATTAGATGAGGAATTGTTTAATAGCGAATTTTTATTTCATCACTGAGCTTAATACTAAGTACTATATCATCCATATAATTACTGCCTTCGTTCAATTTTACAGGTTTTAAATAACCTATTTTTGTTTTAATATGTTAAATTTCTTCACTTTTTCTTGAGTCATTGTGCATCTATTTATAAATGTACTTTGCTTGCTTAAACTAATCTCTGTTGGTTTCTACCAATAAATCTTCATTATGTGGTCGGAGCTGACAAATGAAAGAAGTTGTGGGATTCAGATATAGCCCTGACAAATTAATGGTTCCGTAGTAATTATTGTAAGGGAAATACATGTCACATTGTACTCACCTGCTGGTTGCCAATTCATATAAGATCGTAATCCATTAGTTTGTAGACCATTTATCGCTTCAAAAGCAGGTTTAGCTCTCATATCACGATTTATTATATCATCAGAATAAACACTTGCTGTAATTAACAAAAAGTTGTTTAAAGAAAGTATAATTAAGTGGATAATAAATTAAGCATAATTAAAACTGAAGCTGAATGGAAGAAAAATGTATATCTGGTCAGCAACTTAGCATAAGCTATCTTAAATAATTTCTAGACTTTGCATACTGTTAAATTAAATAACATGCTCAAAAAGAAATATCAAGTCGAGGAATTCGGACTATATTTACAAAGTTGACATAATATTTTAATATAAAAAATATTCGTGGATCAGCAAATCAGTAAAACTACTCCTGCAAACCTTCTATGATTACAGCCGAACTCAAGCCTGGGTAAACGTGGAGGGCTGGGCATGAGACACATATTTTATAATGTAAAGAAGAAAAATTCTAAAAAGACAACGTCAATTATAAGAAAGCATTTACACCATTTGAAATCTCTCCTGGGTCTTCATATTGAAGAATTATGACGCTGCATTGCGATATCCGAGATTCTTCAAAAATCATGGAGCTGATGTCCCTTCTAGCAACCACAACAACAACTAACATAAGTACATGGGATGTTTGTACAGTGTGTGAGTCAGGGAGGACCAGTCAAGTGGGTGAGAAAATCAAGAACTACAACCTGGTGGTGCTCGGAAGAGTGGAACCCATTGAACGCAAACTTGATAGGAAGATCAGCTTCAGAGCAGGTGCCGTTGTGTTCTGATCATGAAGTAGAAAATGCTTCACACACACAAGGAGTTGCATTGTTGCTCTTCAAAGAAGTGCACAAAGCACTTATGGGATGGCAATTTCATGGATCTAGAGTCATCGAATCAATCTTCAAAACAAAGAAGTAGGGGGACACAATGAACGGTATCCAATGTTGTGCACACACTAATGTTAGTAGCGCAAATGTTGGAGACCGGCTTTAGGGGCTGAATTCCATAGTAGAGAACTGTCGAGGAAGGGAATTGAACATCCTGTTAGGAAATCAGAACACCAAGTCTGATATGGTTAACGCCCAGTATAAAAGCATCATGGAGTGATATGAATTTAGGGAAAGAACGAAAATATTGAGAGACTGGAAACTATGTGCTTCCAACAACACAGTTATAGATAGCAGCATTTCCACTCATCGATGCATACATGGGTTTTCATCGGTTTTACGGTATCACACTACGGAAAACCAAATCGACAGCATTTACATCAATGCAAATCTCAGAATGTTGATAGAATTCTTAAGAACAAAGAGAGTAGTTGATATAACTTCAGACCATCACCTGGTTGTGGCTAAGATGAAACTGAAGCTAAAGAAGCACTGGACAATCGGAGGTTTGATACAGACTTTCTAACAGATATCGACAAACTCAATGAATTCAAGACACAACTGAACAACAGGTTGTAGTTGTTAAATGATCTACTCAGAGAATAGGGAGTTACTATGGAAACTGACTTAAAGAGGATTAAAGAAGCGATCACATCAAATTAACGAGAGTTTCTGTGCCTCAGCAAGCGTCATCATAAGGAGTGAATCTCCATCGAAACCCTGAACAAGATTCAAGAAAGGGAGAACAAGAAGACAGCAATTAACAGCAGATGAACAGCAACGGAGAAAGTCGAGACACAAACTGAATTCACAGAAACAAACGAGAGAATGAAGAGGATCATTGGAGCTGACAAACATAAATACATGGGAGATCTAGCAACAGCAGCGGAAAAGCTGTACGAGAAGGAAATCTTAGACAACGATTTGAGAGATCGAAAAAAGTAGACGGGAAATATGGTAGATCAGAGCAACCAGTCAGGAACCGTGAGTGCAAACCAAGCAATGAGGATTAAGGGGAGCGGAACGGGCGGGTAGAGTATTTTGATGAGCTCCTGAATAGACCAGGACCACTGAACCCACCGGAAATCGAAGCAGTACACACACCCTACAGTTGATACTGGAACAACAATATATGTCATTAAGGTTATCAGACAGATCATCAGTGAGAAGGTAGAAGGATCAAATAGTATACCAGCTAAAGCGCTGGAGTCAGATATATACCTAACTGCAGCAAAGTTCCACTTTCTCTTCAGAAACCTATACAAACAGTTATGAGAGTTATAAATAAATAATATATTTGTAATGTCGCAATGAGTAGAAAAATTAGATTTTCTGACGTTTCGTGACTCAGTCTTAGCCACTTCTTCAGAGAACAAATAGCCAAACTTAGATTTGGAAAATAACGTAAATGTAGTTTAAGAAATGGGAAATTTTCGCTAACATCAAAGTTATGTAAGTTTGACTTTTTGTTTTCATAAACAATTAGAATGTTAAGCAAAAGCTTTAAACTATTACTAGATACCTGTCTAGTTACGATTTTGTTTTCTGTAAACTCGGTATATTTGAAATAAAGTTAATCACTATGTATTAACCACCATTAGTGGATACTTACTCGTGACTTTATTATACTACTTCTATACGAAACTTTTATTATAGGGCTGAATATGATAACAATTGAATATGATAGATATTAAATTAAATTAATACAACATGGATCAGTTTGTTCTTAAGGATTTAGAGCATTGAATACGTATATATATATATATATATATATATATATATATATATATATATATATCAGGAAGAAGCGCTGGAATTAGATAGAACACACATTGAGGAAGTCACCCAATTGCGTCACAAGGCAAGCCCTCACATGGAATCCTGAAGGCCAAAGGAGAAGAGGAAGACCAAAGAACACATTACGCCGAAAAATGGAGACAGAGATGAGAAGAATGAACAAAAAATGGATAGAACTAGAAAGGAAGGCTCAGGACAGAGTGGGTTGGAGAATGCTGGTCGGCGACCTATGCTCCATTGGGAGTAACAGGTGTAAGTAAGTAATATGACTTTCCCATCAGGTTTCAGTAAGTGAGGTTATCCTATCATTTATTTCTATTATGTGCTTATTACGTGCATAGACTACTCTTGTTTTGTTAAATAAATTTACTGTCTTGTCTCTGTTCTGGCTCTCCCTATATTTATAGTAATAATAATAATACATCTTGAAAATTACAAAAATCATAGCAGTTTACATTCATGATCAGCTTGATGTATTTGATCGTGAATGGTGTACCTGAAATAAAGTGATCTCAGCTGAGTATGGAGCACCGATTGAGTATCTAGTCTAGTGCTAGTATGAATTCGGTCATGGATCGCACTATCATATGACAAAATTCCATTGTGTTAAGTGGAAATATTTTAAATTTCTCATTATATCACATAAATGTGCTTAAATGCCACATAGTTTATTCTAAATTCTACTCTACGGTACTATTTAAAAGAAAACAGACCAGATAACTTACGATTTAATTTACTATCAAAAAATTCCATGAAAGGATGGTTAATATTGCTGTAACTGATAATTCGGTTTATTTCATCGAGTTCCAAATTACTACGATCTTTCAGTGCCCTTGAAATACCTGAAAAGGTTAAAAAATTTGTTGTAAATATTTAGTTTAAACAGTTTAATGATTTTCAGAATAAATGTTTAAATCGATTAACAAACTTTAGCGAATGTCGATCATTTGAATTGAATATAGTGAAGTTTGTTTCTATCTGAAATAAACTTTCAGTACGAAATAACATTATCTAAAGATATTTTTGAGGAAGTTGGATAAGTGTTATATTCTTATTTGGGAATCTTCAAAAATAGATAACCATAACCACATCCGTGTCATAAAATTAGATTTCAGGTCTGATAGAGATCATGTTACTTTTAAGCCATCAAACCAAGATCCAAAAGCCTAAAATTTCATTTTATCATGAGTTGAAGAGAATAAGGTAACAGTCAGATTTATGAGTAATAGATATTATTACATGTGGTTGGATTCAATTTTACAGTTATCAACTTAACTTCTGATATGATGGGATAAGATGACATTATTTTTTAAATCAGTTGATTTTGAATTTCAGTCAAGGGAACAGGTGTGAATTTTGTTCGATGTGGCATTTTAAGGTCAATATTTTTTGTACCAGCTCAGTGTAAACTTTGTTTGATATGAGAATGTGAACTTTCATTCAGTATGATGATTCCTTGTATCAATTCACCTGAACTGTATTCAGTATGCGTCTTGATAATAACCCTATGTATTTCTTCCTATATGTGCTATTATGAAATGTGTGTAAAAATTCATACATAAATGATTGTATTTTGGTCAAACGATGATTTGATTTCAGGACTTGTTTGGGGGCATGGTTTCGTATAGCCAATAAATCTTTTGTGTTCTTACTTTGACCTGTTGGAACTGAAGTAGAACCTGTTTCAAAGTATAGGAATAGAATCAAGGAATCTCAGTGGTTCTCGTTTGTCAAGTATAAGCAGTAAGACTGGGGACTCAACAGAGTGCTTCCAGATATAACAGCGATGACTCCCCAGATATGACAGTTGGCGATCCGGATACAACAGAGCCTACACGTACACTACCGACGCCACGAATACAACAGCTTGTTAGAGTTTCGGGGACAACCAAACCAGCCTCATTTACTACATTTAATATAATAACGATAAAAAATACTCTTATTAAATAAGGATAATTATTATTTTAAACGTAATTTTCAACATGGATGAATATAAGTTGAATAACCACTGAAAATTAAAGTGTAATGGACACATCTTAAATAGATTTTTTAAACTTCGCAGAAGTGTACATTTAGTGCAGGTCACAGTTGCCTTCGAAATATGCAAGAGTTATGTTATTAAATTTAAGTCCATAATTTGAAAGTAAATGAATAACTGTACCATAGATAAGATTGAAACACACTAATCAGGACAAAGCAATTTAAAGTTTGTCTAATTATATGAATGTCTGCCCAGGGATTATGTTATCTTGATTAAACTAACCTAAGACAAAATGTTAATGGGAAATATTTATCCTTTAGTTTTACACTTTACAGTTGTAAGTTATCAGAAAGTCAATGTTTAATTAATTAACACTATTCTTTTATATATTTGTACTTTATAAAAAGGAAGTGAAAGTTGACTGTGTATTTAACTGACTTGCAATTTTACCTATACATTACTATTTCCTCATCACAAGGTAAGAGCTTACCTGGAATCCTGAAGTGAAATGGAAAAGAGAAAGGCCGAAGAATACACTACGTCAGTAATTGGAAGCAAACATGAAAAGGATAAATAGCAACCAGAAAGGATTGCTCGAGACAGAGTTGGATGAAGAATGTTGATGGGCGGTCTATGCTCCATCACGATGGGTAACAGGCGTAAGTAAGAAAATCACTATTTCAGTTACTTTCTTGACAATATGAAAGTTTGGTTTTATCCTTTAGTTTTACACATATTACTTTTTGAAGCCTAATTCGACGTGTTGTGAAACAAGATAACCGAAAAAAGACCAGATGTTACTGAATTAATCATTTAATCCGAATAACATAACTGATTTACACATAAAAATTATGATTTTCATAATTTATAAAGCATTTAATATTAATATTTAATACTAAATATTGGTAAATTATTTCACCTAACTATAAACTAAACTGTAATCTTAAAAAAGAATAACATGTATGTAATACCATATTGTTTGAGCTTATTTTCTATGAATTGATTCCAGATGACGAGTTATGTAAAGTCAAAAATTTTTTACCTATAATTGTTTTGCTTCACCATAGGAGTCTTCTGTGTTATGAACTATAGACTTTCATAAGAATCAAACTCATGTTCTTCACTGATACGCCACACAGCAATTGTTTTAGGAAATTTTGGAAGCTTCATTCATAACCACTGACCTTGTTTGTTACTCTCATCTTAACTGCCTAGTCCTACAGCTTATGACTTTTAACCAACCAAAGTTGAGTAGACATTCAACAATATTCTCAGCCATGAAGTTAAGGAATGTGCTTTTGTGGCAAAATGGAATCAAAATGTCCATCCTAGTGTATTATCAAACTGTAGCGAACAGTTTGTATTAAATCGAAAGGAATCAGAAACAGGTTGTTTCCTTGGTTTGAGTTGTTTTGAGTCGCTTGTGATTGGGCCGTAATGGCAGAAAAGCAATTGTATGACCTCTGTCTGTAGTCCTGTGATGTATGCCACTTATTTCTATCAACATAAGTAGTATGTGACACCAATCAGAAGTGGAGTGCCTGGCAGCAGAAGGTTGCGAAGATCGAATTGAAGAAAACGGGCTTGTCAACAGAGCATAAATATAAAGGCAATGAAGTTTGAGATAATTGTTGGGAGATTTTTAAATGAAGTATTTATTTTATCATTTCCACATTTTACTAAACAGCTGTGTAACTTTGTAATAAACAATAACCTGGTTGTCCCCCCCCTGAGTTCTCGTTAGTTACATTCCAATTATTTATTAGTTCACTCGTATTACCAGTAGAATCAGTCACCTGTTCGCCAACTGACATACTGACAGATGAACAACTAGGACGCCAACAACTATCGGTCCTAGAGTCCCTTCTGACCCAGTGGTCAATCAGAAGATGAAGGTAGAAAGAGGGTCAGTTCTTTGTTACACCCAATTTAACCATGACTCAAAACCCATAAACACACAAAGAAAATTAAGGAATTACCATAACGGCATAACTACTCCATAAGTGGAAGAGAACTGAGTAGCACTTCCGTAATAAATTAACAGTAACTTAAAAAAGGCACAAAATATAGCAACAGTTCATACATCACAAACAAGCTTAAAAGCAGGCGAATACAAACATACAATTTACTTTAACTTAAAAGATATAAAACTGGTATTTAATAACTTACTATCATAGCCATAGGGAACTTCAAATTCCTGACGTTTTTCTAGCCACATTGGTAAGCCTTCTGATAAAAGACCAGTATCAAATCGTTTAAATTGATTGAAATATCCTATCCGACCATATGTTAAATTGTAGTTGATAATGATAAAAAGTGTAAAAGTTATGTATTTAACAAAAGAGAACATTATTGACAATATGGGCGCTTCTATAATTTATGCATATCACACTCACTATAAAATAAACTCTTGTGTTTCATAAACGAAATGAGAGAATAAAATGATTATTAGGATTTTTGTCTTGAATTTCGTTACGACTTAATCCTTATTCTTTACTAAATCTCGAGGTAAGTAAAGAGTTTTATGCTTTCACTCAAAACGTTTCTATGCAGAAGTAAATTTTCGAACAAAAATCTACTCAGCTACATTAAAGAGAACTATTATTTCTATCTTATGTTTAAAAATCAATCCTAATGAATGAGAGGAGATTTGAAGGTCATGTCGTATTAAGCCAATCAAATTCATCTCTACTCGCCTTCTCCAAATTTTTACCTACCCAAAATAATATAGTTATAGGACCAGTTAGTAGATGTGAGATAAATTCAATACTATAATCCCCTTCATTCTAAATTTTGTCCTACAAATTTATCAGAGTTTTCATATATTATCTTTCCAATCAACATCATTGGGATTTGAGTTGAAACTATTCGATCTAATTTAGACGAATGTTCTTATATATCATTGGGATTGTTGTGAAAATTTGTTTTTATCAACTATACTCGTCTATAATCCAATTAAATTATCTTCGTTTCCACATATAATATATGTATATTCTGAAAATAATCATCACAGAATTTATACCAGTTTACAGGCATGATCAGCTTGGTATGAATAGTTACATTAAATGTAGAGAACAAACATGTGATATATATGATTATTTTAAGTTTACTATTTCAAGAAATGTTTAGGTAGTACATTTATGATATGTATTACTGCAATGAAATGAATCGGCCAGAAACTTTTCATTTCTTTTATGTGGGCATCCTGTTGATGTATGAACGATGCATTTAAGGTCATTTTCTGAACCATAACGAATTGATCATGAACACCAACAACAAGAGAAAACAAAAAAGAAGCAGAAATCACAGAAGGACAAAAGCAATAATTACTACGATAGATCAGTCAGGTCTGCCAGATTATTTTATGATGTACTGTTCGTGTTAGATATTATTCAAATTGGTTAAAGTTACAAGGGACGGTGTCAGTGTGAAGTAACAGCGGATAAGGAGGTTTATCTAGAAAATTCAGTAATAAAAGCGTCTGAACTTTCAAATTTCTTATAACCTCACTTGTGGAATAAGATATACGAGTGTGCTAAACTATTCCAGAGACTGGAAAATTGACTGTTAAATGTAATTCGTATAGAGAGATGATTTAGAATGGGTTTGTTTCACTAATGATATGGAGTTACTGATGCTGTAACTAGTAGTTTCTGCATATTGAATTACTTTACTGAATGTAAAGGATAGTTTATTAGGTGTTTTGAAGGAAAAAGATTAGACTTAGTTTGAGTCTCCTCCTTCATAAAGAGACGAGCCCAAGTTTAATACATCTGGACTTATAATTTAAGGTACAGTCAGTCCCAAGAATGCGAAGTGTAAATCGTCTCTAAACGGATTTCATCCTTAATTTATTCTTTATGTGAACACTATTAAGAATAGACGTGCGGTTTTCTTGGAGTGGTCGAACTTTATCAAAATACGTTAGTCATTATGGAGGTTTTGATATATATAACCCATAAGACGTTGAAACCTGGAGGTCTGTTTTGAGACCTGTCCTATGAAGGACAAATTGCAGGAGTATCTAAGTCAACTACTGTATGTAGCTTAGATAACACATTGCCACTTATGGTAGGATCTAAGTTGAGTGATATGTTACCGAAGCATATCTATGCACATTTAGCCGTGTTAAGCTCTAACTGCCATCTTGAGCAGCAGCGCGCTACCCTGTTAAGCTCCATGCTGATGCAATTTTGCATATTGTTCAGTTTATTAGGAGAAAAGCAATACATTAATATAAGATTATCTTCATACAGAAGGGGATTACTCTCACAAACACACTCACAAATATCACTGACAAAAAATAAAATGAGCAAACGGCCTAGGACACTACCTTGATTTACACCAATTCTGACAAGGACAGCGTTCGGCAAGGAAGAATTAATTTTAACCATTTGATATCAGTGTCTGGGGAGTTGACCAAGCCAAACAAGCAGAAGGTTTCGGACCCCCTAAGAAGCGAGTCTGTCTGTAAGAAGTTGGTGGTTAACCATATCGAAAGCCTTTTAAGTGTCAAAGTATAACACTAAGACAAGGTACCCGCGGTTACGTTGAGTGAAAGCTAAATTAAAGAAATCAACATGGCAGATCATACAAGACAAATCTCTAAGATATCCATTTTGAGAATCATTGATAACTTTTTCAGTAAGCAAGTAGTCGGAGAGTTCGTCACCAACAATTTTTTCTATAATCATAGAGATTACTGGGGATTGGCAAAGCAAAAACCGCATTCCCACGATCGAAGAACATATGGAACTCAAAACAACTCTCAACTAGCTTCAAAGTCACAATCATCAATACGAATGTCAACACAGTCCTACTGTACGGAGCTGAAACGTGGAGAACTACTACGACCATCATCAGGAAGGTACAAGTAAGAAAAAGAGAATTTAGCGAAGAAAATTATTTTTCTCTGTACTTTTATTTGATTATTATCGGTTTTTTGTTTCTAAATTACTATTTTACATTATTATTATTACCTTATACAAGTTTTCTTGATTATTACTCAGATTATTATTATTATGACCTTTGTGTTTGTCGCTTTTCTTCACATCTGTCAATTGAACTATTAACTGACCCATAAATTATTTTCTTCCTTACCTCTTGATTAGTACGTCACCTCATTTGTTATTTATTATCGAATCAATTTATAATGCAATCTTTTCTAGCCTCCTATAGATATATATTTTCCATATCACTATATATACGAATGTACAGTTTAAGTGAATGATTTCGTCGAAAAGAAAATTTTCTTCGCTGAATTCTCTTTTTCTTATTCAATGACATTAGAAGGTACAAGTATTTATTATTATTTGTCTACACAAAATACTCAATATCCATTGGCCGGATACCATCAGCAACAGCCTTCTGTGGGAGAGGATAAACCAGCTTCCAGCTGAAGAGGAAATTAGGAAAAGACGTTGGAAGTGGATCGGACATACATTGAGGAAATCGCCAAACTGCATCACGACTCAATCCCTAACTTGGAATGGTGAAGGAAAGCGGAAAAGAGGAAGGCCAAAGAACACACTACACCGGGAAATAGAAGCAGATATGAAAAGGATGAATGTTAACTGGAAAGAAAGGCTCAGGACAGAGTTGAATGGAGAGTGCTGGTGTTTGGTCTATGCTCCTACACGAGTGGTAACTGGCCTAAGTAAAGTGAAAAACTCAATCTACTTTCAATTAGTAAGTAGTATAGTATGTCATCGAGAAAATATATCAAGATTGAATAACCAAGAATAATTAGAAATCTACTGAAGCACTATTTCTCCAGTAACACTTCTAATGTTACAGCCCATCCCCAACTCAGATAAAGAGTAGTAAAGAGTACAGTCTTTGCAATATAATACCGTAAAAATAACGCTGTCATAAAACACTAACCTTAAAAAACAACATACATCATCGAAATTTTAGCGTGGGAGTTTTAGGATTTTCAATTTGAAAAATTAAGGACGCATGGTGGAGGAATCTTAGATAATTCGGGAACATCGATGCGGGCGAATCTTATGATGATCAGATAAACAGATAATATAGGTACATGACTTTGATATTGACAGACAGTTTTTTTGTGTTCCATATGTACTCCAACTGTAGGAATGCTGCCCTTACTCTGCCAATCCTCGCCTTTACGTCCGCACCAGATGTTCGTTATGTTCATAACTTACCAATAGAATTTTAAACGCTGTACCATTCATTCAAGATAATGTTGATAACAAGTACATTTGTAACAAAAAGCGCCTGTTATTTGTTTCATTGTAACAATTTTTAATTCTTTTTATACCCCTTCAATTTTACAATTCATGATGACTTGAACAATAACAATCTGATAATAACTCAAATTTCGAAGAGTTCTTCATTTTCTGTAAGATTGTTGATAATCATTAATAGGAGAGATAAACAATTTATTTTAACGTTATTTAACACTTTTATTTTTGAACTTGACACAAAAAAGTGTTTTGGGATACTTAAAATATCTTCCCAGAATGTTAAGTTTACCACTAAGTCTCAAAATGCTCTTTGCTTCTGTACATTTTTTGAACCGAAAGTAAAATTTAGGTTATTGATCCGTTCTTTTTTCATTACCGTTCAGGGCGCATGAATTAGCAAATTCTACGGTTCTGGGCAGACATCATCAAGCATAAAAACGGAAAACTTATCATCACTTCAACGTCAACGTAAGTCGATCCAAGAAAGTAAAAAACGAAGTTAATGTGAACACCGATAAATAGTTTCATCAGATTCGATCTTTAAACACATTATTCTGTACTGAAAAATGACATACACTGATTATGAAAAGTGTCTAACTAATTGCAATTAATGATTAAAAATTACGTAACAATCTTGTTTATTTATTTTATCATTAGGATTGTGGTGTATGCTACTTATGTCTGTCGGCATAAGTAGTATGTAACACCAATCGGAATTGGAAACCCTGACACAGAAGGCAAAGAGGATCAAGTTGAAGAGAATGGAAACGCAAATAGAGAGGAGTTGCAAATAAGAAGAGTCATACAGACTATGAAAGACAAATGATAGAAATTTGAAGATGAAGTATTCAACGTATGGTTTTCATATTTTATGGAGACTTTCTGTAATTTCTTACTGTAATGAATCGGGGGTAAGTAAGTTATTACGTATGTAAGTAACTATCATATAACTTGTCTGATAGTCTAGTAAATGTACTCATCATTGTTTTGTCAACATATTTCAATTTTAAATGCATACAATAATTTATTCAAACAAAATGTATTAAAATTTCACAAAACTCCAATCAGTATATTCGGTATAGGCTTTAAACAGCATGAAATATTCTCCAGAATATTGAACAACTGAATAACGATCAATAGTTCATCGCATAGTACAGAAATGTTTATTAGGCGATTATCTAGTTAAATATTTGATAAATGAATAATTTGATTTGATAGTTATAATCATAATGAAAAAGATATATATATATGAAAATAAATATCAGTGAAAGATATAAAATTAGCAAGAATGAATTGGGTCTTAACTGTCTTACAGATAATAATACTAGATTTCTCTCTGTTTCCTTACTGTTCCTTACAGTCTTATATATCAAACAATGGTCAGAATCCTGACTATGTTACAGTTGTTTTACCAAAATTCAAGGGACAGATTGAAAAAAAGTCCGAATACGTAACTCAGCTAAAACAGAGAACAACATTCAACACTGACGGAGATGATGATAATTCTGGAAAACATTCGATAGATAACCGAGGTTATGAAGACCTTTTCAGGAGACCCGATTTAAATGATTTTAGCAGCAATGAAAATTATGAAAATAATGATGACCAATCCGATGTTAGGGAAAAAAATCAAGATTATTCGGAATCCGGTTATATAGACGAAGAGACAACAAAATATGAAAAACAGATTCAAAAACAAAGCGGAACTAGTCAGGTATTTAAACATATACCTAAAAATAGTATAACGAAATATAATGAAATTGATAGACCACGCAGTTTCAATAACAAAGAAGTTTTAAATAATGATGCTTTTGCCTCCAAAGATTACAGTAACACCGATTTAAGTCAGCTATTCGATAAATATGCTGAAGATACTGATCAAAATTCCAATGCAAAGTTTGATTTGAAGAATTATGATGTCGATATGGACAAATTGTTTAGAGAAAACATAAAAACCAGTAAAGGAGAGAATATATACTATAGTGATGAAGTACAAAGTAACCATCAGAAGAAACATCACCAGATGAACAATAATAATCGGAGAATGGATTCACTGCCCAACAGAAAACGTCCGCCAACTTTACAGCAATATAAAAATATTTACGAAGTTCGTAAAAGAGAGAAATTGAACTATCATGTGAATAATGGGCGAAATGACAACAATAACGAGATGTTTGAGAATTGCTTCAAGCGTTTTTACAAAAATCAAAATAATTAATACCAACCAATCAAATTATTCAAAAACAGTCATGTGCAATAATGACATCATTATTAAGAGATTATGCTAACTTTCAAAATGTAATCACAGTTTTCGAATGTCCATCTTCTTTGTCTAAAACAGTGATATGAAATGAATTACATTAAATAGATTTTACAACTTTTCTCGAGTATATTTTCAGTGCCATAAGCTTTTCATCCTGTTATAATTAGGATATTTTCAGTCATGGCCTAATAACTTCATCATTTGCTTGTTTTTCCTTGGACATTTGACTCAGATTTCTGCCTGTCGAATCTCATAGCACATTTTATGTAATACAATCTGTCTGTTATCTAATATAAAAAAGTATACTGATGGCTTGACTTAGTAAATCCTTATTTAAACAATCAAATGCCTGATAGTTCGTAAGCAGTGTGAATTCCAATAGAAATGTAACTAACAAAATATTTTGGCCGATATTACATGGGGACCTATTCAGAATGAATTTACTGAATGTAATCGGTAAGAATACTTAGAGTCAAGCTTCACAATCACTGCCACTGATTTGCGAAAAATATCTACATATTTCAGCAAAGCGAAATACACCTAAAGATTGAAGTCTAAATCACTTAGCACCCGGTAACTTTAAACATTCCTTGGCAGATGATCTGCGGCAGAATTAAATAAGGCAGACCAGTGGATTATTAAATGGAAAACTGTATGAGTTAATCTTGATCAGTCATGGCTTTTTGAAGATAATCTTTTGGCCAGATGACATTGTATACAATGCACAGAGATATTCAACTGAATATCTTGATGAAGACTTATCAAAGTTGATCTATAGAGCTTTCTATGCACTGAAGTACAGGTACGATGATGGTTAATGTTCATTCATATATATATATATATATAATTTGTTTAATCTGGTTGGCGTTTTTTCAGCGAGGTTTTTTTGTGGGATGAAGTTGTCGATCCCACTTTTTCTTCGTTCGGATATAACAAGAATATCTTATTTGTTTAACTTCATATGCACAACATGATCTTCAGGAATGGTGATTTTTAGTTTTACATTCAATGAATAGTACTTAAGAATTGTAATTATAACGTTTTGTCACATAAATTCTCCATAAACATGTTTGTATAAGTATATTTTCCTGAGTAGTAACTAAATTATGAAGGGTAATTTTGTAATACCACCATTAATCTCAGTGATTTAAAATAGTCTATATTATAGCCTCAGACCTAGAATGTGGGATACGTGGCCCTGCTTCGTACCTGAAATCTTTAGTGTATAAGTAGGCCCCCAGTAACCAATCAACCAATAAATAAATAAAATGAATGTTACTATTCACTCAACAGAACAAATGTCTCAATATTAGGGTCATTTAATGGTCAACATTTCGCATCGTTTGAAAATGTATTACACTAGTAAGTTCAGAAGTTTAAGGAAGACTCAAAGTTTTTGTTAGAGCAAAATCACAGCCATATAGCTTTTAGGAATAATATTTTAACTAAGCTTTAGTATGGATTGTCGTCACAGAGACTGCTATGCTAACTCATTACGCTGTAGTTATTTGTGACGTCTTCCATGATCAATATATTTGAGTTATCCAATACCTTTGGTTATTTTTCCGCTTATTTAGTAGGCGAGTACCGTATATATGAGTGTAAGTTTTATTAGAGATTCCATTTTAAGAATATCGAGTTATCCTCAGCTGCTGACTCGTCAGCTAGGACTTCCCGGGATACCGGAGGGAAAATATAAATATGATGATAGTTAGAAGTTCTGAAATCTTTAAACTAAATTATACTCTTATATGCAACATTCGTTCATGTAGTGCACGGAAAAATCTCTGAGAAGTGCTAGATATCGCAAAGAAGTTGAAAATTGGAAACGTGAAGGTAACTTCAGTCGTTTATCTTTTTTGTGGATTTCATATGGTAGTCAAATCATGTAATGTGTAAAAGTTTAATACAAATATAGGTTATGTAGATGAAAATAAAAAAGAAGATATCATTCATGATGATCGACCATTGAATGATTACAAATGTTAGGCTGTTGAGTCATTGGTTTCAAGTCAAATTTGTCACTAACATTCAAAAACGACCGGACATCTTAAAGAACTGGAACTCAAAGTGTACTTTTGTATTTAGTTATATCTTTCAGAATGTAAGGGTTTTAGAAAGAGTCACTCCACAGAACAATTTCTCGCTGTGGTACTTCGAGGTCAGTTTTCCAAATCTTAATGTAGGGTTCGTTTATCCTTTATGTTAACAGGTACTTACTACTTACTTATGTCAGTTACCCCTCGTAGAGGGGATTAGTCCCCTCACCAGCATTGTCCATCCAACCCTGTCCTGGACAATCCCTTCCATTTGTTTCTGGTTGCTATTTATTCTTTTGATGTCTGCTTCCAATTCTCGACGCAGTGTGTTTTATTGGCCTTCCTCTTTTTCGTTTCCCTTCAGGGTTCCAAGTTAGCACCTGGTGATTTCCTCAATGTATGTCCTATCCACGTCCAACGTCTTTTCTTAACTACCTCTTCATCTGGAAGCTGATTCGTTTGATTTACATTACCGTTATATTAGATTTATGAGTTATGTGATTTTAATAAATAAAGTTTTAGCAAACACAATTTTCTAAATACATTTTCGGATTGAAACATAATTAGTTTTGGCGCATTCTATCCTAACAAATAAAGGAGGGAATGACCAGAGTCATTTTAATTTATTTTATACACAATATGACTGTATAGTTTATCAGTCTAGCAACTGCATTTTTGTTGCAAAATATAACTAATCAACATTACTTACGTGAGACAGATTATGTCTTTCCATGATCTAGCATTTATTTCTTAGACATATCAATATCTTAACAGCTTCAAGAGAGTAACCTATACACACAGGTATTCTGCCTTTTGGCAATACTGCATTCCCTGAAATAATTGATTCAATGGTAAATCTATTAATAGAGATCAATCTAACAGGACAGTTGATGAAAAATAAAAGTTCATATATATCTTGAAGAGACAATCAATCTAAGACAAGATTATCAAGGAGGATCGACTTTATGCTTATGAAATAATTCTAAAAAAGCTTACTTTCGTTTGTATTAAACGTTAACAGTACTATCCAGAGCGATAACTAACTAAACAATCACAAATAAACCATTTACCTTCAGGAAAATAACCGTCCATTAGTTATTAATTCTATGAAAACAATCAACCAGGTCTATTGGGAGATATCAACTCACTGAAGACATTGGTGAATGGTTGCTCAATTTCGTGGATTGGTTGAAGTTAGACATTAACACCTTTGGATGCTTACCAGCTCAGTGGTCTATCGGTTAAGTGCTTTGGCGCGAGACTGGGTTCGAATCTCATGAGGCGAGATCGTGGATTCGCACTGATGAGGAGTCCCACAATAGGCCGAAATGGTTGTCCAGTGCTTCCAGTTTTTCCATAGTGATCTAGCTTCAATTGACTCATGATCTCAACTATATAAAATCCTAATAATTGTTCAGTTGACAACACAATAAAAACTCAATCAATTTCATGGCATTTATCGATTTAAGTAAATTTAAAAGCAAAAAAAATGTTTATCGATAAAGGCTTCAGACTTTATACTATTAAGTGCAACAGAACAATTTAATGATTTTAATCATTATCCATGAAAATCCAGTAATCATCATTATAACTATATAAGAAGGAACAAATCAAGTATTTATTCAATAAACTATGTTTGTTTATAATAATGTACTATATTTATTTTGTTTAAATTGATACTATGTATTATACAAGCTTATTGATCCTATTCTATCTAATTTGGATTTATTATTCAGTACAGGGGAAAGTTTACACTACAACATCCAAAAAGCTTTTACCATATTATTATTATACGAATTATTATAAACCTTATTATTATTATTTGAATCATAGATTAAGTGGTTATGATTATTCATTGAATAGTTATCTTCAATCTTACCAATATCATGCATATTCTCAAAGACCATATTCTAAAAAGAATTATTTAATTATTCCTGGAATTGATAAGTTTAAAACTATTGAAAGTGAAACATTGAAACATATAAAAGAATTTACTGAAATTACTACTGAACATAAGAAATATGATAATGTTTTACCTTTATCTAATTTTGATGGTGATCATATTGATAATGATAAAAGTCAACTTGAATTAAACAAATTTATTGATCCAAATCAGCAGATTGGTACTGATTATAATTTCGATTTATCTAATGGAAATAAACCAATAGAAACTTTATCAAATGGAAATTTGAATGAAACAAACAATCAGAAAGAAGCAAACAATAGTGATATGTTATTACATAAATATTCATATAAAGAACAAAATAAAATAGGTGCTAATAATAAAAAACCGTATTTGTCAAAGAACGTTGAAACTCACTCAAATGAGGAATTTCTATACAATAGACAGTTAATTAAAAGTCGTCAATCTTCACGTTATATTATTCTTCGTCCACGAAAAAAAAAGAAGTTATATTGATGATTTTTATGAAACATATTCATTGACCAATGTTATTATCATAGAATGTTGAATTTTGGATGGGTACTTGATGTGTAGTAGTGAGAGTGATTATTGAGTTTAGACAAACAGCCAATCAACCTACTGATTAGTAAATATGTGATTTCATTTATTGTTATCGATTTCTACCCCGGACTCACTGAGTGTGACTGCTGGTAACTGTGTTGAATAAAGTATTATCTACAGTTAATCCGGTTCTCTATTCTGGGTTGTGAAGCCTGGATCTGAAATAATGTGAATAGTCTCATTATTGTATCAACGTATTATCTTGCTGTACCTTAGAATGAGAAAAATATTTTAAATCAAGCGTTCTACCAGAACCTATTACTGCTTTGATAAATCTCTCGTAAGAATTTAAACTGCCTACACGGAAATACATACATGAATCAATAGGAGCTGAGATCAGCTGAATACACTTTAAGAAAGGCTGTGAAATTCTTTTAAAGTATACACTGACATCTCTCTTTTCTCATGTGAATACAATGCTATTAATCTATATACTCCATCTTCTGATCTGATGAAAATGAATGAAATTACAAACATTAAAAAAGTTGTTGTTGGCTTAAATGTGAAGTTTCCATTGTTGTTCCGGACAACTCCTACTTCAAATAGAATGCAACACCATCATAAGCACCTATCTGGGGGAGAAATAACAAACATACTATAATGGTTACTCGAAATTTGAACTGCCTCTTTATCATTTCACTGGGCTGGAAGCAAACCTTTAACTTGTTAGTCTGAAATAATTAATCTTGTGCGTGTAACCAAAGCTGTATTCGCCACTGAACAAATGACATTCTGTGATGATAATTTACAGAATATAGTTGACCTATACTTTCGAAAAAACAGTAGACTTGTGTTTATATTGGTTCCGTTCAAAGTCATCAGTCCAATGGAAGATTCACTAGATGACTAGTTAAACTTTGTGCTTCGATCGCGAAAAACACCGGGTATTGATAATTTCATTGGTAACTATAGTATTTCTTATGATAATTAGTAACAACATGCATTTAAAACCCAGTGAGGGTCATAAAGGAGGTGGTTTTTAGTAATAAAATGGTGAACATAGACTGTATTAAATGTGACCTCAGTTGGCTGTTTTCTGTTTTATTATATCTTGATTGCATTTATAAGCGAAGATGGATAGTGGCTAGCAATGAAGTCCAGGACGCACGTTTCGTCCCATTTGGGACACATCAGCTGGATGTGCCTGCATCTCTGAGTTGATGTTCACTCTGGGACTGGAACTCAGTACCGTTCGCTTCAAACGCCTTCGCGTTATCCACTTAGCTACTGAGTCCTGATAGCCACCTGCACATCAACTCCGAGATGTAGGTACATCCATCTGATGAGTCCAAAATGGGACGAAACGCGCTTCAAACTGGATTCCACTGCTAGCCACTATCCATCTTTGTTTATAAAGCTTGTGACCTGAGGCAATATCGAGGCAGTCCGCACAGGATGCAGATATTCCAACAAGAGAGTGACCAATTTCAGTCCTAAATAACAATGGGAAGATACAAGTATACAACACCAAGTGAACTTGATTACATTTGTTTATATTTTTACTGACGAATAGAACTTACGTAATCTGATATGCTGCACTTTTGATCCACGACTATATGTAGTCATATTCATATGAATATGCTTTCAGATTTCTTTTAAAAGACAGTAATTAAAGTGACACTATTCCTAATATTTGTTTTACTACTTACTTAATAATAAGTAGTTAGAAATGTAAATAAAAAATGGAATTTTGTTTGATTGACTAAGTAGTCGCCTATTTTCATCAAATTGGAAAGACAATGACAACATCTTCATCAAGACTAGGGTATGTTTCTCCAAATATCCCACACATAATATATTGGACAAGCTATTTGTTGTAGATGTCGACTGTTTTCCCATGCTCGTATGGCGGATGGATTATTCACCGTAGGCAGATGATCAGTAACTCATAACCATGATTTACTGAGCGTTGTTCATGAATAAGATCCATGGTTCCGTCGTTTGACAAAAGATCAAATGAAGAGAATTCACTCCTTACTGCTGTCGGGAGCTGCAGCGTTTGTAGTGATCGAAAGTAGCAGTAGTAGTAGTAATCGAAATACCACTCTACTATTTAGTGGCATAGGATGCGTTAATGAAGGCAATGTCAGTAACCTTTGGACTCCTAGCTCGCGAGACATCTGATAGGTAGTTCTTAGACCTTTTCTATGATAATGTTTTGTTTCGGAAGCTTCATTAGTGATGACAGACCTGTCACTAGCAATGCTCCTAGTGCAATCTTCCCGGCTACCTACAATACTTTGTTCAAAGTTCACATTATGCAAAATTTAGGTGGTGAGTAAGGAAAATATCATTTAATCTGCTTCTGTGATGTGGCTACTGGTTCCACACAATGTAGCACGAATTGTTGGAGGAGGCCTCCAAGAAAGTGGCTATCCGTAACAGGAAGACGTGAAAGGTCTTCCAGTTTTCTTGAGGCTGAATAAAGTTTTCGAGAAATTGTTTTTATGTTTATATTGCGATAATCACTGATCAACCATATGGTAACTTAGAACTAATGTTTCTTTTACTCATTTATTATAAATGAAAAAAATAATGCTAATGTAAAACAATAGCACCTAAGTTTCTAAACTATGCTCACAGATCTCAGATTGTCGATGGTTATCATTATTTATGTGACATTTATTGTCACATAATGGTATCCAGGTGGCCAATTTGACACAATTAAGCTGTTCCACAGTGAACGTTCATCACTTAACATAATTCACATGATTTCGTAAAATATTGTCACTGGTATTGAATTTGGTATTTCCTAAAACGAAAATTAAATATGGGATTGTAACTAAACAGTTCGACCTTCACAATAAACGAATGCACTTTCTTCTTACAAACGTGAAAAAATAACAGTAGATAAAACAGTGATTATAATATTATTGAAATTAGTATTGGTGTTAATTTAACTATCAACAACGATGAGCTTTAGGCTATAATCCCTCATCACTAACCAATGTTTACGAATCCGATTTCATAAAAGGCATAAAATAGGTGAAGTTGATCTACATGATTATTTGTATTTAATCCACCGTAGTCAATTTTACACAGTATTTATTCATTCATGATTAGCAATGTTCGTTTACAAGTTGACCTATTTCCTATTGTTATCAGGTGAATCATTATCATTATCTCACATTTAAATTCTACCACACTTTGTGAAGGTTTACGAAACATTTCATTTTATGCAATTGGAATATATTCTTATCACTTAACTCAATTCACTGTAGTTTAGTGATTGCGAGCAACTTCTTTACACTTGAGTCATATGATTATGTCATTTCTCATATTGGTTACATCCATCTACTTTTCTGTGTATTCTACTTTTTTGGTGGAAGATTCTGATATGTCTTGTGGGTTGAACGCTTATTCAGATCCTAAGCTATTCGGATAACCCCAGGCTAGCACTACTCAGCGACTTGAAGACCAGTAAGAAGACACGAGTAACGGAGAAGATGCTTTATTGCAAGGTTCATCTTTGTACAGAAAATCGTAGGTATTTATAGATGTTTGCTTAAGTTAAATCAACATCCTAATTCAGCCAATCCACTTAACGACATAAATTGCTACTGACCAATGATAGCGTGCCACGTTGAAACTCCAGAATGTTCTGTCGTGCTCTGATTGGTTGGAGCTCTTTTTGAGCCTCTGGAGGCTCTGTTGGAGTTCTCTGGAAACCGACTTAACAGATTCATAAGGAAAACAAATCAAATAATCAAAAGAACCTATTGTGTCATTGAATAAAAATAAAGGGAATGCATACTAGTATGGAGCTCCTTAGCAGTGAGCACCCACAATCCCGCACGCGGGACCCAAACCCAGAACCTCCTGTCTCGCGCACGAATGCTTAACTTATAGACCACTGAGTCGGCACTCGACGACTTTAATGTCTAACTCCAACCAACCCACGATATTGAGAGAGCGTACAACATTATCTTCAGTGAGTAACCGCCTTACAACGGACACGGTTGAACTCCACTTGTCACCGGTTTGACATTGATCCATTCATGATATCAATCTAAACTCAACAATCTCCATAACCCTATACTGATAATTATCATATACTCACTAGTGACCAGATTCAAGATGAATTCCCTGAAGTCCTGGTGAGAAGCCGTGACATCGCGATCCGCATTTGGGACCATGGATGTGCACTGCTTAGGAGTTCCATACTAGGACGAAACGTCTATCCTGTGCTTCCAGGTTTCCTATGGTGGTCTAACATAAATCCATTCATGATGTTAATCTAAAAGAGAATTCAGAGGAGAAAATCTTATTTTCAAGGAAACCATTTACTTAGGCTGTAAATCCGTATTTATAGTTGTTTGGCAAATATATGACTACAGAAAGAGAAGAGTGAATCATAGAGTGATTCGAGACTCCAAATATCAAATGAGGTCGCGTAATAATCAGAGGGTTAGAGAAGAATAGAAGAATGAAAATAATTCACGGGTCAGAATTATGGAACAAAATTGTCCGCTTGACAGATATATACATAAGAAATGATCATAAAGATCATAATACTAACTGGATGATAATCATGAGAAATTGTTAAAGAATAATAATAACTGATTACGGTTTAAAATTACAAAATTTTCATATATATACGATTCTACAGCATGATAATAAATTCGTTGAAAAGAGATTCCTTCTCTGACCTTTCTGTTTTTAAATCGTGCTTTCACTAGCCACAAATTTGTATATTGATCGCACAATCAGTGCATCAAATCTTCAAAGAAAGCTTGCTAAATACCTAAGAACTCTACTGCAACTGCTGTAATCCTCGATATACTACTTGTCTATACTTGGAAGAAATGAGAAACAATCAAATTAATGTTAATAGATCAAACATAAAGGTGAAAATTTTAATAAAAACGAATTTGTAAAATAACCCATGCTTTGTGCTGGGAATTCCTTCTCGTAACTTAATATATTGACATTGACTAAAACAACCATTTTTATTTATTTTTAATATACTTATTAACAATAACCGAATAAATGGAATTCGGTGCATTCATATAAAATAGTGTATCAGCCATATCGCTTAATTCAAGAATAGTATTCAATTCATCGTAGTTGGATAAGTATATGGTATACAACATAATGCTGACCAGTTCTCAGTTATAACTGTAATCTATAAATGAATCACGTAATTTTTTTAATAAATTAAACGACTCACTACTACACAGCAATTTGGTATATACTATTAATTAGACACTCGGTGATCAATCGACTTAGCTAGGCTGAGAAAAAAAATTTAAATGGGGGCGAGGCTCAACATCGTCCATTACTTATAACAGAAGCTACAGGGACACGTGAAAAAACTCGAAACTGCTCAGAAGAAATTTATGGTACCTCTGTCCTCTCCCTGGGCTGATAAAACTTTATCCATCCTTTACTCGGCGCCCAATTTTTGTCAATCTATTCGTTCTAATCTTGACGAATATTCGTATGAAACATCCTTTACTCTGTTTGTTTACTTGTTTTACTTCATCGCTTTGGTATCTCTTTTTTACTACCTAGATATTGAAACTAATTATTCACAGACTTCTTATCATACAATTTTCACTATCAACATTTTAATAAGTTTATTTTCCTACGTTTTGGCTAATTTCACATGCGTAAAAATTTATCCAGACTGGTTTTGTTAATCCTATTAAAACTAGTACATCCGTTGATATATTTACATTTACCTGCACCGCTTCTACGGTTACTGCCGGTCAGAAGCCCTGGTAAAAGAGGAGGGTTGGGCATAGGATCAGAAACCCTATAACGTAAAAAACAACCTTGTTTTAAAAGCGCTAACCACAAAAAACAATCTAAACCATTTAGACTTTCCATTGAAAGTTGAAGAATTTTAATTCAGAAGACTTATAACATCTCATTGTGAAATCCGAGATTATTAAAAAATAATGGAGCTGATGTCCCCTCTAGAAACCAAAGCAACGACTAACATAGGTACATGGGATGTTTGTACTGTGTGTAAGACAGGGAGGACCAGTTAAATAGATGAGCAAATTAAAGACTACAACCTAGTGGTGCTCGAAAAACTGGAACCCATTGAGCGCAAGCTTGACAGAAAGATCAGCTTCAGAGCAGGTGCCGTTGTGTTCTGATCATGAAGTAGAAAATGCTTCACATACACAAGGAGTTTCATTGTTACTCTTCAAAGAAGTGCACAAAGCACACATCAATGTTAGCAGCGCAGGTGTTGGAGATCGGCTTTGTCAGGCTGAATTCCATCGTAGAAAACTGTCGAGGGAAGGAAATCGGAACACGAAGCTTGATATGGTTAACGCCCAGTATAAAGGCATCATGGAGTGATATGAATTCGGGGTAAGAACGAGAATATTGAGAGACTGCAAAATCTATGTGCTCTCAACAACACAGTTATAGATAGCAGCATTTCCACTCATCGATGCATACATGGGTTTTCATCAGTTTTATGGTATCACACTACGGAAAACCAAATCGACAGCATTTACATCAATGAAAATCTCAGAATGTTCATAGAATTCGTAAGAACAAAGAGATTAGTTGATATATTTTCAGATCATCACCTGGTTGTGGCTAAGATGAAACTGAAGCAATGACATCGAAGTAACAAGAGTTTCTGTGCCTCGATAAGCACCCGAGAGGCCTGCTTGAATATCTGAGCTATCTGTTCCTGCCATCTAGATATTTCAACAAGTTATCTGTTTCATCGTTTGTTTTATCAGATTATTATGTCATTTAATTGCATAAGTTATTCAGGTGCGTTTGTGAAAAGTTTACGACCTTTCACTTACAAGTCACAAAAATTTACAATCGCAGACATCATGATAGCAGGCAATGTGCATTGAAAAGAATGAATATTATTAAGATGTCAACTTCTGAAACGCTAATACATAACTGGTGATCACTCAATATTTATCATCAATATCGATCACGAAATAAGCAACGGAAAGTTGCCGAAATACGTTGTGCTGAGAATTTTATATTGCACCAAAAATATAATTCTGAATAAACTAAATAATAATTTCATCATAAGGAATGGATCTCCGTCGAATCCCTCTACAAGATTTAAGAAAGGAAGAACAAAAAGACGGCAATAAACAGTAACCGAACATGATCAGAGAAAGATAAGACACAGGCTAAATACATAGAAGCAACCAACAGTGAAGAGGAGCATTAGGGCGGAAATACGTGGGACACCTAACAACGACAGCAGAAAAAGCGGCAAGAGAAGAAAATATGAAAGAACGATACAAAACAACGAAGAAGCTTGCAGGAAAATACGGTAGACCAGAGAGACCAGTCGGGAACATAGAATGCAAACCAAGCAGCGTTGATCAAGAGCAGAGGAGTGGGTGACTGGATTATTTTAACGAGCTTGTGAATAGACCACGACCACTGGACCGCACCGTACATCTAAGAGGCACACTCACTCTAAAAATGATACCGGACCAATACAGAAGTCGGCAAGGCTACCAGAAATATCACGAATGGTATAGCAGCAGGATCAGACAACGTACCAGCTGAACAGCTGAAGTCAGGTATAGAAGTGGCTGCAAACATGCTGTCTTGAAAAAGCTTTGAGAGGAAGAACAAGTACAAACATACTGGAAAGAAGGATAACTCATCAATATACCAATAAAAGGAGACTTCAGCAAGTTTGAGGACTACAAAGGCATCACATTACTGTCAGTACAAGGAAATGTTTTCAATTGAGTTTTCATGAACCAAATGAAAAATTCAGTAGACTCCCAACTTCGAGATCAACAGGTTAGATTCTGTAAGGATCAGTTGCGCACGGACCAAATCGTGACACTGCGGATCATTGTTCAGCAATCAACTGAGTGGAATCCGTCACTAAACATCAACTTTATTGACTATGAGAAAGCATTTGACAGCATGGATAGGAGAACATTATGGAAACTTCTTCGAAACTATAGTGTACCTGAGAAAATCGTCAACATTATCCGGAACTCATACAACGGACTACACTGCAGACTCGTTAATGGAGGACAAATGACAGACACATTCCAAGTAAGGGTCGGAGTCAGAAAAGGCTGCTTACTCTCCATTTTCCTCCTTCTCCTTGTGTTTGACTGGATTATGAAGACTTCGATATCTGAGGGAAAGTACGGAATACAATGGACATGTTGGATGCAACTAGACGATTTGGACTTCACGTATGACATAACTCTTCTATCCCATACACACGGACAAATGCAGGTCAAGAAAGTCAGTGTAGTAGCACCCTCTGCATCAATAGGCCTCAATATACACAAGGGAGAAAGCAAGATCCTGAAATACAATATGGAGAACACCAACACAATCACAGTCGATGGAAAATCTCCGGAAGAGATAGAAAGCTTTATATACCCCGGCACTATCACTGATAAATAAGGAGGGTCTAATGTAGAAGTGAGGGGACAGATTGGACGAACAAAAACAAAATTCCTACAACTGAAAAGCATCTGGAACTTAAAACAACTGCCTGCCAACATCAAAGTCACAATTTTCAATACAAACGTCAATACAGTCCTACTGTACTAGGGTGAAACTTGCTGAGCTACTACAACCACCATCAAGAAAGTGCAAATGTTTACAAACAGTTGTCCATGTAAGACACTCAACATCAGTAACAATCTACTGTGATAGAGAAAAAATTAGCTTTTATTTGAAGAGGAAACTAGGAAATGACGATGAAAGTGGACAGAAAATACATTGAGGAAATCACCAAACTGCATCACGAGGCAGGTCTTAACTTGGAATCTTCAAAGTAAACGGGAAAGATGAAGGCTAAAGAACACATGTTCCTGAGAATCGGAGGCAGATTTCAAAAGAACGAACAGCACTTGGAAGCTACTAGAAAGGAGGGCCCAGGACAGGGTAAGTTAGAGTTTGCTGTTTGGTGGCCTGTGTTGCTCCACGAGGGTTAACAGGTCTAGATGCTCAAGTAGTAATTATTTTTTTTTGGTTATTCATATATGTATATTATTGATAAGCGTTCAAAAGACAAAACATAAATTTGGTTGGTTTCATATAATGTATCATTCAAATTTCTTTTTCATAATCATTAATCAATGATGAATTAATTGAGAGAAAAGTTTTCAAATCATCAATTCAGTTCATACTTCTATTTCAGAGCTTAGAAAAACATGATAAACATACAGAGGTAACATTCAATTACAAATTTCAAATCATTTTAACTGAAAATATCCATCTCAATAAATAATGTTTTATTAATTTGTTGTATTATATCGGTTCAAAAAAGAAAGATTTTAAAAATAAAACATGTTTTTGTTACAATATATCCACGAATTTGAGTGATTGTTCATCATTCATTTAATATAAAAATTAAAAACCTAATCCCCCATTTCCCATTGATCCCATACCGAAGAAACCGCCAAAAGAGCCTAGACCGGACATAGGACCAGCATTTGGTGCACTTGGATCAAAGTCTTTATTTTCCTCTGTTTCTTTCCCAGATTGATTGCTTTCTTTATTGTTTGATTGTTCATTATCTGTATTTGGCATTGATGGATAATTCTGTTCATTGTTTCTTCCAGTAGGAGTATGATAATTTGGTGTATCCATTTTACCTCTATTACCGTGATTAACACGATTTCTGTTAGTCTCATAATTTTCAGTATTGTACATATTATGATAATTATTATTACCATTATCATTATTCTTATAATTTTCAATGTTATTATATCTATTGTTATTTTGATTGGGTATATTACGTTTAGGATGATCATGATGATTAGTTTTGTAATTATCATATCCACTGTAAGCGTCATTGTTATTAAAATTATAATTGTCATTGCGATTATTCCGTTTGTTATTATAATTATTACGATCATTATTGTAATTGTAATTGGATTTGTCATTGAAATTATTCCGGTGATTATTATTATTACCATTGTAGTTGTACTTGTAAGTACGATGACCATTCTGATTTTGTCGATTGCCGTTACGATTGTAATTGTTATTATTCCCGAAATTACGATTTTCGTTATAACGTCTTTGGTTATTATAGTCATTGTTGTAATTATTATTATTATTATTATATCTTTTATTATTTCTTAGCCTATCATTATGTCTGTTGGCATAATTGTTATGTTTGATATTTTTAGTCATGTAATTTCTATTAGAGTCTCGATTTCTTGTACGATCATTATTATCAGATATATAAGCATTGCGTGTATAATCAGGATTGTAATTTTTAGCATTATATTTTACATCATTATTGTACCTGTCAGTGTTTTTGATGTAATCATATGAATAATAGTCGTTATTATTATTATCATTGTCATTACGGTTGTAGTTATTGCCATTATTATAATAATCGTTATTATTATTATTGTCGTAATGATTGTCATTGTTATTACGGTTGTAGTCATTGCCATTATTATAGTAGTCGTTGTTATTATTATCGTAATGATTGTCATTACGGTTATAGTTATTGCCATCATTATAATAATCGTTATTATTATTATTATCGTAATGATTGTCATTGTTATTGTAATTGTCATTACGGTTGTAGTTATTATTATTATTGTAGTTATTATTATTGCGATGTTTCTTGTCTTTACTATTGCTGTTGCTACCAGAATAAGTGCGTTTCTTATTTTCATTGTTGTAATTCTTGGTCTCCTTTTTACCATTATAATTATTAATTTTATTATTATTATCATTATATTTATTCGATTGTTGATTATATGTTGATTTTGGTATATGTTTAATAACTTCACTGATTTCACGGCGATTTTTTACAGTTTTCACATATTTTAATGAATTTTTATTTTGATATATACTTTCTGAACTCATAGTTACATTAGGTTTAACATTATATTGACCATTATTCTTTTTTATATTATTACCATAAGGTAATGATGACGATGATAATGATGCTGGAGACAAAACTGGATTAGATGCATTTGTTGTTTTTGTATATGTTTGAGAAGCAGTATCAACTTTTGTTTTTTCTTTATAATGTGTTAAAGTTTCATCTTCTGTATGTGATCGTTTTTCTATTTTTGGTGAACGTACCACATAATAATAAGATGATGATTTTTCATTTTGATTATTCGTAGTAATTGATAAGATGGATGGAATACATTGTATAATGATTGTTAAAATTATTAAGAATAATCGGATTTTCATTTGTCTTTATATAAGAATTCGGTTGTTTGTTTTTTCTTTGTTTTAATGTATAAAATATATATTGATAAAATAAACAGTAGTAAATCCAGGGAAAAAGTTTTAAATGGGTAATTAATCTGTTAATATATATTGAATGAATAAATATGAACTATTGAATATTATCTTATGATGTAATCATTTATAGTATAGTATTATAGTATACAGATAAATTGCACTTTTCTAATTAATTTTTAATTATTTACGCATATTATTGATCATAATGTTTATTCTACAACTTGTAATATCCCTATAATTAATGAATAGAGTTAGACATTAGTAAAGTCATTTGAATTAATCTATAGTGGTTGGCATTATGTTGAATCCTTATAACTTATTCGAGCTTCTGGACAAACTAATTCAGCTATTCTTCTCAAGCTACATTTTGACCTTGTTATTAAATGCTTATTAATCCTGATTGTTTTTATATGATCATGTGTGAGTGTATTGTTTATCTTATTCATCACATGCTTGTAACTTATTTTTGTCTAACTATCGATTTGCACTTTGTTAAATTGAGTTGGCTCATTCACCTTCTCCACTGTGACTTCTTTCGTTTCACTTCGTTCTCTACTCTTCGCTTCCTTCGTTGCAATTCTCTAATGGTCTATTCTGGTCAACGATTCTATGAAATACATGTATTCAAACTCCATTCTCGTAATTGACTTATTTAATCCCGTTATTCAATAATGCGAGTTAAGTCGATAATTATATACGAGGACTGACGAAATGTATATTTCGATAACAATCAGAAACGACCTAATTGGAATCAGATATAGGGCTACTAGAAATCAACTATTTTATGACTAAACTAGGAAGTAATTAGTTTATATATATATATATGAAGATATTTCATCTATTATATTTTGAAAATGGATAGGCTTTAATCAATCGACCAGTTATTAAGATTATAAAACAAATTATTTTAAGCAGATTTTATGTATTATCTTTTTTAAAACTTGGATTGACTTTACATATTCTCATTTGATAGCTAAACTATTGAATATTTCATTTAACTATTACTAGATAATAAAAACATTTCAGTATTCAAATGGAATTTAGTCTTAAACTGTTGTGATTGGACACTGAAATTAAAGTATGCTATTGGTTAAATTATATTTTCAAGTTTTCTATCATTTAGCTTTACTATGATAGGATGAAATCTTCAAGCAACAACTATCCTGTATATTTAAAATTCGCTGTATTTATGACAAGATAATAAAATTTGTTTGAAGCATAACATAAATGGTTTATTAAGAATACTATTGCTGTTTGTATTATGCATTATGAAAAATATGATCACATTGATTACCACATAAACAATCTCATCTATTTCTTGACTTGATTTGATCACTGTGTCACCCCCCTCTTATTTTTATAAATTCCATATCCAAATGACGTCACAACTATTCGTGAACAGATTTAATAAGGTTATAATTGATAATCTTTACTACTCTAATTCCTTCCGTCATCAACCTCGATTGGTTTACTCAATGTTACACTTGAACACGTATATAATTGTAAGCGGCTGATGAGAAATCATAAAATATAATGAATCTATATCATTCTACTTAACTTGTTGTTCTGGCTTGATTCATAAAATTCGTTAAGGGAAGTAATTGGATGAAATGATCATATTATTTTTAATATGATATTTATGCTTAGATCAGATGGGAATAAATGAAAATTTATTATTTCAAACAAAATTTTCATTGTACAGTGTTATATCCCGTGAAGATTTATGAATGGTAACTTTGAGAACTATTTATAGACCAATGTGATATGTATATTTCCTATTGTATAATTGTTGAGTAGCTTAACTATTCATATTTGTATCCCTCTTATTATGTTACATTATGACCCATAGACTATTATTATACAATTTACCATTCCTGAGTTATCCCTAGTCTATTGATTACTGTTCCCCCCTATTCACAGCCATATTTGGCCAAATCTTGTACACATGTTATTTTCTATTTTACGTGGTCAGTTTGTTTGGTATAGAAACCCAGTATATTTGAGAATAATGATTCATATTGCAGAAGCTGTTATTGGTGTTCTGGACTTAACTGGCTGGGCTAGGTAGATAACAGGACTGATAAGTACTCAAGACTGCTCATACGGCTTTTGTGTATCATTAATCCGATCGATAAATCACTCCTCTCTGATTGGCGGGAATCAGCACGTTCATATATATCAGCTGGACAAGAACGCACGCGATCGATATAACATACCGTAACTTCGTTTTTTTGGTATACTTATTTTACAAAGAATTATTCCTGTCATTTATGTTGTATGGTTTTGTATTAATCTTATTTACTTTAAATAATAAAAATATTTACATTAGTTAAACAACGACTATGAATGGTACTGGAGTTATTCACCCTACATTACTATAAAGATAAGTTATTAACCTTCATCACAATTTATTGGTTAACATCTAAAAATAGATACTCATATTTGCAATCTATTTATTATAATTTTAATTCTTCATCTATTATCACCACGAAAATGTCTTTGATTTTCTTTTCAACCAATGGAAGTTTATTCTAAGGACTATCATGTTTTAATGTATTGTATAATTACGTTAAACTGTTTAGATGAATAAGATTTTAGTTATCAGTAAAAATAATTATTTTTGTAACTTAAAAAAAGATGTGTAAAGGAAATTGGTAGTCTTTGAAAAAAATGTGAATTATTAGAAGCAAAGCATTCTATTTTCACTGTGTTTCATTTATTTACATACATTTTTGTATATCTTAGTATGCGAAATATGAAGTTATTTATTTAAACACATAAATATTGGCACAAAGGGGCACCACATATATATGCGCCACACAAATGTCATTTGATTTGTATAAGGGCTGTGATACTGCCCAGGTGCCCAAACTGAAGCAAGTGGTTTTCTTAGGGGGCCACACCCGGAGCCTTTGACCTAAAGGTCTGATTCACAAGGCAGCGGAGCATCGTGAGGAGATGCAGTCCCATGGTAGCCGGTGACCAACGATTGACTCATACGCCATTTGTTCCCTCAGGATACTGGATCCCATGTGCATCATTGGTTTGGAATCAGGATTTTCCAACTTCCCTTGATGGACTCGCAGTGTCCACCAACCCGGTTCAGCACCAGACATTCGCTTTTCGTCCCCTCAATTTCGTAAACAACACCTGTGGCACGAGAAGGCAGTGAGTAGGACTTCCCTGTCAGAGGCTATATATTCGCGTGGCCATGTGAGAGCATACTCTCCCCACTCTCGGCCGTACCACGGCATTTGGGGGCCAGAATCTAAGAGATTATACACAATATCTAAAGCCTTTCCAATAGGAACATCAGTGAACAAAGAATAAATATCAAAACATGTCATTAATTCATCGTCTTCTACGCGGATAGCAGTGATAATGTCTTTGTATTCACTAGAATTTCTATTCCGTATTTTATTTTACTTTCACATAGTTTAAGAATCTTGGTTAGACATCTAGGAAGATTGTAGGTCGGCGAATTTGTAAATTTAACCACAGGTCTTGGTGGGACATCTGTTTTATGGATTTCTGGTAACCCAAAAAATCTACAAGGGCTGCTGCTTTTCAGATATAGAAAAAAACTATGAAGACGGTTCTAGTTTATATTTTTAAGGCTGTATCATTTTGGCCGTTTCGGATTTTAACTTATTTGAAGTGGCCCTATATTTGTTATCCATGATTTTTTCGTAAGGTCCATTGTGGAGATGTTCGTTTACTTGCACTTATAAAAACTAGAAACAATCTAAATTAGAAGACTATTCTTCCCATATATGCTTAGATTATGTAACCAAAGGTTTTAAGTGGTATTTTTCACTGATTAGCATGACTAAAATTTTATTGAAATTTTTTAGTACCATGACTTAAAAATATCGTATAACGGAGAAGGATGAAAAACTTTATCTTTCTCAGTTTTATCATTATTATTTTAAACCAGATAAGTTAAGCATAAAGTTTTGAAAGTGAAAATCATGATGATACATCTACAACAGTAAATAGCAAACAAATTACTTGACATTTCATGAACATAAAAACTACTAAACATTTTGTGAGTTATTCCATATACCAAAGCAAACACAAGAAAGATATAAATATAAGTGAGGTTTTTCTTAGATGTTCGAGATAATTACTTAAATATTAGAAGTTATATTCATGTTTGTTTTATGGATGGAATAGCTTTTTTTTAACGGGTACAAACCTACACAGAATAGTTAAGATCAAATAATACGAATACGTTGAATGATTAAAAACCTATTTCGATTCAACATTTCTAATTCACGAAATTTACAGAAATATAAAATCCCAATAAATGAATAAAAGTACAGTTTTTGGGCCGTAAAGCTTTTGTGCGTGGTAGACAAGTTATAACGCCACCTGTAACTCTTCGAGAGTTACTGTCGGTCCCAAGCCCTGGTAAAACAGGAGGGTGGGGCATGTGGTCAGCATCACCATCCCGTAGAAAACTAACTCGCTAAAAAACGCCAACCAGATTAAACAAACTAAACCATTTAGACTCTGCCCTCCGAGTTGAAGGAACAATTATGACGGCTCAGGATGAAAGCCGAGATTTTTTGGAAGTCATGAGGCCGATGCCCCTTTTGACAACCACAGCAACAATTTCTATACGTGTACTTAAATTCAATTTGAAACTATGCATTACCCAATAAAAAAAGAAACATCTTACCAATAGTTAATATAATCGACGTGCCCATCTTAGTGTTTATTCTACTTCGTGTAGTAACTAAAACACAGTGGCATATACACACTTTTTACTTTTTAAATACATATTTCTTATAGAACCACAACCAGTCTGTGTCAGGCTCCAAGTTGGTTATGACTCGTTGAAGTGTGTTTACCACCTTCTTTAGTGTCAAAATGATCACCAACTGAAAGTAGTTTTTATGAAGATGAGATTATCCTGTTTTAATATATATCTGTAAGACAAAACTCAGAACAATAGTTGGACTATTATAACGCGAAATGATTCTCCGAAGTCTCGGCGACAATATAAACCTCTTCGATCAAAGTTTAGTTATCTAGTCTGAACTTGATATTAAGAATTGTCAAAAACATGTAAATACGTTAATTTTTTTATTAATGAATGAATAACAGAAGTTTTTCATAACATTTGATTTAGGATTAAAATAAACTGTACTTAGATAAAAGATAATACAAAGTATTATTCTCAAATGAGTTTTATAATCAACGACTAACTAGTTGACCAGCCTCTTGATCTTTTGTGAGTCTTTCAAATGAGCTATTCACGCCAGTTGGATTAACTGGGATGAAATACCAACCACGAAAGTCGCCCTTTTCAAGTTGAGATTTACGAAACCATCTTTCTTCATCACTAAGAAAAAGGTGGATATGAAAAAGAGAAATAGCCTTATCGGACTGGACTATAGATAATACTAGTTTGAAAAAAATTTTCTTGAAGTATTACACGAACAAATAGGATACGATCTAGCGCAAATGCCTATTGATTCAATTCGCTACTTCCTATTGGTGAAGTGACAGGAAGTCAAAAAAGAAATGGAAAGTGATGAATCAGGAATTATAGCGGTAATTGTTGAGAAAAATTTGACAGGGGAAATGTAGTTCAAGAATAAAACGGTTTGGACCCTTCATTTAAACACCTGAAGTTTTCTAAAAACAACGTCAATCACTAAAAAAAACATTTACACAATTTAAAATCTCTCCTGGGTCTTCATATTGAAGAATTATGACGCTGCATTGCGACATCCGAGATTCTTCAAAAATCATGGAGCTGATGTCCATTTTAGCAAACAGATCAACAACTAACATAGGTACATGGGATGCTTGTACTGTGTGTGAGAAAAGGAGGACCAGTCAAATAGATGAGCAAATTAAAGACTACAACCTAGTGGTGCTCGAAAAACTGGAACCCATTGAGCGCAAGCTTGACAGAAAGATCAGCTTCAGAGCAGGTGCCGTTGTGTTCTGATCATGAAGTAGAAAATACTTCACATACACAAGGAGTTTCATTGTTACTCTTCAAAGAAGTGCACAAAGCACTTATGGGATGGCAATTTCATGGATCTAAGATCATCGAAGCAACCTTTAAAACGAAGAGGTAGGGGTACCAAGTGAATTTAAACTTCACCCCATTGCACAAACAAGTGGCTATCAGGACTCAGTAGCTGAGTGGATAACGTGACGGCGTTTGAATCGAAAGGTACTGGGTTCGAGTTTTAGAGTGAAAATCAACTCTGAGATGCAGGTACATCCAGATGATGAGTCCCAAATGGGACGAAACGCGCGTCCTGGATTCCACTGCTAGCCACTATTATAATGCTTGTGAATTAAGGCTGTATCGAGGCAATACGCACAGTATGCACACATGCCAATAAGAGACTGATCAATTGCAGTCCTAAACATCAATGGGAAGATTCAAACAAACAATACCATGTGAATTTAAAGAAGTAGGGGGTCACAATGAACGGTATCCCAGAACAAAGTAGGAGAGCCAATCATTGATATACAAGAACAGAGAAACAGGTGAGTGGAACGCTTTGGAGAACTCTTGAATAGACCAGACACACTGAACTCACCGGACGTTGAAGTAGTATACACAAACCTTACTAAACCTGTCACTCAACCAACGATCGAAGATATCAGGATGGCCATCAGACAAATCAGGTATGGGAAAGTAGCATGGCTTGACAACCGACAAGCTGAGTCGATGAAGTCAGATATAGAAGTGATTACAGACATGCTCCACGTTCTATTCAGGAGGTTTGGGAGGAAGAACAATCACCAACAGATTAAAAGGACGGAAAACTCATTAAGACACAGATGATTTAGCTCTCCAATCACATACAAACCAACAAATACTGGTGAAGACAGTAAGTGTAGTAGCAGCCTGTGCATCGGTAGGCCTCAACACACACAAGGGAAAAACCAAGATCCTCAAATACAACACAGAGGACACCAACACAGTCACACTTGGGGAAATTCTGGAAGATGTGGAAACATTCACAAATCTGGGTATCATCATCGATGAACATGAGGACCTGATGTGATGGCAAGGGCGGTATTCCCACAGTTGAAGAACATATATAACTCAAAACAACGGTCAACCAAAACCAAAAAATGCAATAAAAACTCAAACACAAAGAGACATCCTGCCTACACGTTAAGAAGTCCAACTATATTCTAAGGTCAGCATATCCACTTTTCTAAAACCTGAAGAAGAGTGAATATTGGGTTAATACAACCGCGTCCAGGTCTCAAACCACACTCGTTTTCCCGGATCCACTGTTCGCAGACCCTAGCTAGGCGTCCGATGGTCATAGGGGTTAATATTTATTCTAGTCAAACTGAATCCTCTGTGATAGTTACAAGAGGATTCTTTTCCCTTTCTTAGAAACTGGAACGATCAACGACTGAGATCAGTTAGATGGGATTACGTTCCTATTCCAGATTCTAGCTAATATCTTAGTCAGTTTGACAGTTAAAATTGGATTACATTCCTTCATCATCTTTTGCGTCAATCCATAAGGACAGTTTGTTCTTCACACTGTTAGACTACGTTTAGGCTTCTCAAATTCATTAAAAGTTAAGGAAATTCTGTCAATGCGCCATGAAGGTTTATTAGTGGTAGAGGGTAACAGTAAATCAATTGAACTATCAGCCGGTCAGTCATTCACAACATAGAACCCGTACGTATGTGCATAGGTTCAAGTTACCATAACCCATAAACACAGAGAGATGAAATTGTTAGCCCAAGTCTGAGAATAGTAGATGTAGTAACAGTATCAATGCTAATAGAAAGGATTTGGGATAGAAGATACGATTCGAGAAGAAAATCTAAATTAGTGCAGTAAAATTCTTGGAGAATTTAGAACTTCAGGATTCGAGAGAAGGCAAAGAATGGATGAACCTGCTCCATTGCAAACGATTTTGAGCCATGTCATTCAAAGCCTCTAACCATTGTTTATGATAATTACGTGGACCCCAGTCAGGTAGTCTGTACCTGTTAACATGACTTCATGGACTGATGCTGTTTTGGTTTGGATATCTCAACCTTTGTTCTAGACTATTCCAACGCACGACAGTTACTGCTACCATGACGTGGTGGTCGAGTTTGTCCATAGTGGTGACTCAATCGAGCTATATTGGTCGGGAAAATTGTTCGTTTAGGTCCTACTATCCAATGCAGATTAGTTGGGGAACGGTAAGACTAGAAGCGGCAACTCAAAGTCCGAGGGCATTGTTGACTGTAGAGGTGTGTGGCAAGAGTAAGTTTTCACTGGACAACCAGAATCTAAGGTGATGCTGCCTTTTCACAACAGATGGAAGGGGTTAGGAGTGGTCGACCCTGAAAATGTCACACATCATCTTACCCGACGGATTCCTCTCTCCGATTATAAGGCCATTCGAAGAACGGGACTAACACATCAAAAACGTCCCATAAAAAGGTCGTGCGCAACCGGCTTCAAGCAAATGTCCTTTGGGCTCTGTGGTCACTCACCTAAGTCGTCAAGATCACCGCTTATTTAGTTTCTTTTTCAGGTTCCTTAAGAAGAAATATTCTTCCACAATGTGAGCAACCGAGAAGTGACAAGCATCGTCACACCTTTGTCAGCACCCGAGATAATCTTGTTCGTGATCGAATCCCTCCCTCACCTCATGACAATTCTTTCGTCCTCACAACCAGCCCTCCTCACTTACCTTTATCGCCATGCGCCACCAATGCTAATAAGTCGAGTTCACGATGAGTTACTGTTGGTCTGCTGAAACCACACTCCAAACTACATGCTGGAGCTTTCAGTGTTCGAACATTGTGTCAGATAGGACAATAGGCTTTTTTAGTTAAGACTAAAATATCCAACCACTGATGTACGCTATGTTTCCGAAATGCGCATAAAGGGTCCAAATATAGTCATTCATTTGACCTCAACTTGTCACTATTAAGAACCGAAACGATTTACCCTTCGAATATATAGAGTACCCATTGCTACTTCTTACGGCCTCGCTAGTATAGGTATGTTTTAAAGTACAACAGGCTCTGTCAGACTGGATTCCAATATACGGCTGCTTTTGTGCTGTCCGACTGAACGGGACAGTAAGAACTCAGAAATACAAGGGCACATGCCGTTGCTTTTTCGTTGTCTTTGCCTACACTCGTGCTAACAGCATCTCGAATGAAGTTCAAGATGAATTTTATGGGGAGCTATCCAACCTCTTTCAAAAAGCTAAACGTTCTGATATAGTAATACTGGCAAATGATTTTAATGCTCAAGTAAAATGAACCAAACTGAGGGGCATTTAGGCTGATCCTACGGTGTTGCGGCTCAGCAAACAGATAACGGCGACCGTCTGCTACAACTATACACAGATAACCGTTTACTTCCGCAAAACACCAACTTTGAATATAAGGAAAAATATCGTCTGACGTGGCGACCTTCACAACTGACCCAAATAGACTACCTTGTCATTAGCAATCACTGAAGGGGCTCGACAGAAGACTGTCGCTCATTCTGGAGAACAAGATTATACACAGATTATACCCTAGTTTGAGCACGTATTTGTTTGAGCATTACTGGATATGGAAAAGTCACACCAAGAAAACTCTTTAGAATTCAATTTTAGGGACAACTAAAAAAAGTTAGTCAACCTTGAATATGATATCCACCCCGAGGTGGCTTGGTATGATATCTAAAAAGCTGTGGAAACAGCAGTGATATCTTCTAGTAACTTGAACCAAAAGGTTAGGAAAAATCAGTGGATTTCAGTGGTGTCTAAAGAACTGATAGGTGATTGGAAACTCATCCCGTCTGGCTCCGAACACGATGAGCGGAGGCAGCTTAAACGTAGGTTGATAAGTCTACGTAACTGTCGTGAGCAGTGGTGGGTGGCAAAAGCAGATGATTGGTTAAGTAGCGTTAAGTACTTCTTAGTTTAATTTATACAAACCTAACTGTTAATCTGAATGTAAACAAATCATACAGAAAGTAGTGTACGTATACATCACTTTGATTTATTTCCATGATCAAATAAACCTACATCACGAGTCTTTGTTTTTCTACGCGTCGTTGGATTGGAGTCTCCAGTACCAAGCCAAAGCCAGTTAAATAAACCCACAGACACAAAAAGTAAGCGCCATGACAACTAACTGCAAAGATTAATAACTTTTGTGTCATGAGACTCAAAGATGGCCTCAGGGACACTATTTTTCTCATCAATAGTGATTTATATGCGATGAAATAGTATACATTTCATCGGATGCAGTTGTTGCCCCAAACTTGTTAGCACTATCTGAACATCAGATCTTCTATTCCTTGTGTAAGATTTGTGGGATCTCATATATAAAACATATATGCATAGTTTTACTGGTGTTGTGGGAGGACATATTTGGGCTGGATCGCTCTCAATCTTCTAAGCAGGCTTTGGTGTCTTTGTGATGTAGATAATCGAAAACAAAGTAAGGTCTATTGAGTATCTGGATAGGAGCTTATATAGTCGTTCTAAATGCTAATACGCATAAATCATGTTGCATAAGTACGCACTTCCACGTGAATTGAAACGGACAGGAATGTAAACTTATTCTCATCCATGATTACTAGTTTTGTATAACCAGCTTATTATCATACTAGTTCCGCTGAATATTCTGGGTATTAGCAATAATGTCACTGGCCATAGTCTGATACCCGCTTAAGATTGATGGTTTGGATCGATGAGTGACCACGATCGACTAATCATCCGGTCGAAGTTTATCCCACTACAATATTCAGTCAGTCAATGCAGGACCAAGCACATATATGCATCGGTCCAAGTTGCCAAACCTCATTAGCACAACAAGATGAACACCGAGTTCATAAAAGCACTTACTTCAATGGTAGTAAAAAAGACTTCATATAAGGATTTAATATAGGGCAAAACAATTAGTTCAAAAAAGAAAGGTATAAATTAATTTTAATTTCATGGTTTAAGCGATGACAGAGAGTGTATACATGTACGCCATTGTGTTCGATTCTTAGCCATGTCACCCAGTTTCAAGTCATTGGTTACAATAATCGCGTGGACCCCAACTAAATAGTCTGAATCTACCAAAATGGCTCAGACCAGATGCTAGTGACTTTATGGACTGATACTACGTTTTGGTTTGGTTGTCCCCAATGACCGGTCAGTATTGCATGACCTTTGAAGCGGTTCTCATTTATCTTATTTTGTTTTCCTACTATTCATCTAAAGTCTGATTATTACCATCATTATTATAATGGTTGTTCAAAAATAACACCAAGGGTTATACGAGTATTCATTCACATCGTTATTTGAACAATGATAGTTAACGACTTACACCAGCTCCTTAGTAAATCTAAACTCATCTAATTCCGCTAAAGTAGATTCATACAACTTCTGAGGATGTTCGCAGATGTACTTCGCAATGAAGCGCGTAATAGGGTGCTGAAAATGTGTAAACGAATAAGATAACCCACTTTGTGGTATTCCCAGTAACGTGGCTCATAGTCCTCTGGTATGTCCGTCAGTTCTGCTGGCCCAATAAATGAGTTGACAAAAAAAACTAGTAGAAATGAAGGAATAAGACCCAACATAATATAGAAGTGCTAAATATATTTAACAGTGATCAAAGTTGCCTACCACATTGTCGAAAAATACGCGTGACATGTAATCTGAAACTCTCTTAGGAATTGTTCTTCCATGACTTGCGTTTCTAGAAACTACTGTGGAAACTAACAGATACAAATGAGAAATAATAGGGGTACTAACCAAATGGTGAGGGCATGGTTTTCCCGGGAAAAACCGCATACAAACGATGCTGTTTTATCAAAGTGTGTATTTGCGAACGAACAGGTTGAAGTCCAAAATATTTTGAAGAGAGCAAAGCAGCATTCCGGAGAATGGTATACATATTTGCACAACCACCTTGAAAAATCGAACCTCCCGCATCGTTCCAATTCAAATGGTTCAAATGTTTGTGGGCGGAATAGAAGCTTTCGCTTAACGGGCTTCCGTGTCTAGTAGCAGTGGATCACCAGTACCTCCAGGCAGGAACCTAGGTGTATTAACAATGATAGGAAAAAAAGAAATTGGTAAATCATAATAATATGTTATCCTTAGTCCTTAAGAATAAGTCAAGTTTCCTCTTAAAGGACTCCTGAGAAGTTGCTTGAACTAGCTCAGTCTGCAACGAATTCCAGCATTTGACAACTCTTACGGAGCAGAAGTTGTAACTAAGCTTAAGTAAATGTTTAAGTGGATGGCCAGAAGTGTTAAGGATACCATAGGCCATAAGAAGTTTACCTCTAAGACGCCTATACTCTGACGGGTTAAGGTTTAGTGATTGAAGACGCTCTTCATAAGGTTGAATTTGAGTCCCCGGACTGATTTTGTGGCTCGAAGTTGGATATGTTCCAAAGTGTCCTTGTCCTTTCGGAGAAAGGGAGGAAATACTATGTTTCCGTATGTTGAAGATTATGTGGAAAGTTCTACCGTCAAACTGGCCAAAACTACACTTCAATGTTGCCAGCACAAGGTTTGCTTGGAAGGCGTTTTTGTCACAGTTAGCGTAGGACTTCAAGTCCTAGGTTACCAACACTCTTAAATCTTTTTCGACTTGGGATACTTCTAGAGAGGACTTTCACAAGTTGTAACTACAGTCTGCAACATATCGCAGATGGACTACATTACGCTTTGAAGTGTTGAAGGTAAGTCCGTTGTCGTCTGCCCAATTTTGAATTCGAGTCAGGTTCTCTTGAAGTGCCAGTGTATCCTCTTGGTTAAGTATCTCACTCCAAAGTTTCACATCACCAGCAAAAAGCAATAAGTCAGATGATGTTTGTGGAAGATCGTTTATATATATCAAGAAGAGAAGAGGTCCTAGTATTGAGCCCTGGGGGACCGCACTAGGACTTTCTATAGACTGAGAGAAAGTGAAGTTAACCATGACCTTGAAATGTCGATTTTCTAGATATGAAGTGAGCCAGTCAATTAGATATGGTTTGATACCCAATCGTTCGAGCTTATTGATAAGACATATATGGTTGATCCTATCAAAAGCTCTAGAGAAGTCAAGGTAAATAACATCAACCTTCCCCTAGCAGTTGAGAAACTCCAGTTTTGACTTGTCGAAGGGAAGCTGCGTAACTGAATAAGCTTTTCGGATTGGAAACAAATTTATTGATAAGCTTGATCTAGTACTGAAGCCTGTCTTCTCTTATTGTCTCTGTGCTTATGTTCCTTATATGTTTGTATTACCTGTATACGTCGTTGTTATCAGTTCGTTTATATTCAGCCCAACAGTGCCTTTTGCGGCTTAGCTAACGAAAAGTGCGGTTCTTGATGATTGTTGGTTATTTGTAACTTTTTGGGACCATTTGAGAAACTAACTGCTTAGTTGCACATAAGATCATGTGCATTAAGAAATCCCAATGAGCATCCACTTAAAGTTGAGGGTGAACATCCCAATCCACCTGTTGTATATAGTCATGTAAATCTAACGCATTCAATCGTTTGAAATTCCAGCGCCTGTTGTTGGTGGGATATCTTCGCTCAGTTTTGCTGATAAAACTAAAGGCTGTGACGGAGTGATCGCTTTTCCCCAGGGGAGCCAGGATTGAGAGGTCGTCGACTAGGAATTCTTCATTTGTGAATATCCAGTCTAAGCGCGATGGCGTCTGACTGTTTCTCCAACGAGTTGCTGGCTTCACATTTTCGAATAATCCCAGATCATCAATGATGTTGAGGAACCGAGCTTCAGTAGAGTTATCACCTCCAATGTAGCTATGATCCGCGTAGTTGATTCCAGGAAGATTGGAGTCCCCTAGAATCAGGATATAAGAGAGTCCGAGACGCGTAGAGCTAGTTAATCCTTCCAGCATACGATTGTCATACTCGATGTCAGCAATGGGCTTCCTGTAAATGACCCCAGCTGGACACCTTGAGATGGTAGACAATCTTACTGAGCACCATACTGATTCATCAAGATAGAGAAACTCTTGGTTGTGAAGTTGGTGCACCTCCAGGCATGATCGTATGTATAATGCTACCCCACCCCCCATTCCAGTTTTCCTATCGTTTCGAAACAAAGACATCCCAGGTACTGCTAGCTCCTAGTCCGTAAACCGAGAAGATATTCAAATTTTGGATATTCCTATCAGATGAGCATCATTATCGATGCTAAGTTCACGCAGCTCATCCATTTTATTCGTCAAACTCGCAGCGTTCATGTATAAGCAGTTTATGCTTTCAAGTTGAAACGCGTGAGCATCTTCCTGTTTGTCTGTATGAGCCTTACGTCAGTGGACAGATCGCCTACTTATACAAAGTTTTCCGAATTGGTAGTCCCTGTCCTTTACACGTTCTTTTTTATGATCAAGGCAGTCCAAAACTAGTACTGTCAGCTCCAGCTTGCGTTTGTGCTTGATCCTGGTGTCGTGTGGCCTATCCAGATGCATATGGATTCCAGTTGGCAACCGACGTCTGTTGTCACGAAATGCTTCCAGAGTTGCAGCCGCTATATGGGAGGGTGGGAAGGTTATCTTCATTAGCCGGCGTCTAGAGTCTCCATCTTTATTGGCTAGCCTCGTCATTTGTTGTGTCAGTATGTTTTTGAGTTTCAAGGAACGCTTGATGAACTTCCATTCCCGAATATCAGAGTTTGCTTGAGCTGGGTCCATATTTTCCGGTACACCTTGCACAATTATATTTCTTCCGCGGAAAAACACCTCGCGATATTCTTTAGGGATGCTCCGGATGAGATTTCCCTTAGTATACGGTATGTCAGGAAGCGTTCTTGAGTTCCCATCGGATTTCAGTAAGTGACTAGCCAGCAGGACGTCCTCTACGTTGGAAGCATTGTTGAGTGTTACGCGAAGTAGCCTCGGGTGGTTCCGATGATTAGAGTCCTTCCCTCGAGTAAGCCGTATGACCGTCAAATGCTCTATTCTAGGGAGTTCAAGCTTCTTGTTCAATTCTCCCAGAAGCATCCTGTCATTTTTGTCCTGCAAACTGAGAGGAAGGTCGGGGTTGTCAATAACGTTCATGATTAAGAGCGAGTCATAGCGAACCGTAATTGATTTCCCAGGTTTTCCAGTGCGTCCAGGTTCGGCACCTTGTTGTTTGAAGGTCGAAGCGCGTTTCTGATGACCGGACGGACAATCTTGGGGGTAGACTGTGCGGCCAAGTCACCAGTTGATTGCCAATCAATACTTGGGATGTTCAGCCTAAGCGGTGACGCCTGGTCTTTTCTAACCCTGTCAACGTGGGTCCACCCACCTACAGAATTTTTGGGAACCACTGTTTCATTCAAGGACTCTGCGCTGGTAGACCCAAGTTTACTGAGGGAGTCAATTACCGTCGACGTTAAGATGGTGCTGAATTTCAGCATGTCATCACTAGTGCTTTTACCTGCACCATTGATAGTAGACCTGTCGATATCCCTCTTCTTATTTACACTGCGCATTCCTATTTTTCTATATGTTGTATGACTGTCATTTACCAAGTTTTCGGACAAATTGTTCCTCAGACCTGTCAGTAGGGCAATGATATTACTCAGTAAAACTATAGTATACATATAATGTATAGTATCCGTGTTGCACATAACACATATCCACCTACGATCCGACTTGCTGAGTCTGCTATAGGCAGCTGCTGTTAGATCTGTGCACGCTTCGTGGAACCAACCTTTGCAGTTATCGCACTGCATGCCAGATGTTACAGAAAAACGGCAACCAGGTCTTTTGCATGAATTTTTCAATACTATTGATATAAACTGTTTTATAAATACAAGCAGTAAGCCAAAAACCGTTAAAAGAAACACAGTACACTGAAATGGGCAAAAGTGGATAAAACGGGTTACGATAAGTTAATGCTGGCCTTTACGTGAAAAACTGAGGAAAAACCGATAGTCAGCCGAGGCAAAACCACAGTTAACCATTAAGTTGGGTGAAACTCAAAAAAGTAATCTGCCAAATGTATAGCCCAGAATAGATTCTTTAGATCAGAAATGGTACTTTTGTTACGTAAGAACACAGAAAAAGTTTGAGAGCTAAAAGAAATGAGCAACTAGTGACAGGATTCAACCATGATGATAAGAGTGTAATGAATATCAACCTCTGAAGTAAACTATTTATTCTTTTAATTTTTTAGTACACTCAGGTGAATACCTATAAATTTATGGAATGGGGCACAGAGTATAACTTGATATCAGTATAAACTTTTGTGCGATAATAGTTTAGAATAATGTTAAGAAAGTGTCAAATAATTACAAATGATAATCAAATTTCAATTTATAGGTGTTATATGTGTGTAGTGAAGATCAAATAGATCTCATAAGACGATTTATTTAAGTGTAACGCAAGATAATTTGTCTTTAATTATTGACTTTGGATGTTTAGGAATAAAATATGTTTAGAAGGAAAAGAAGGGACGAAAAGAATATCTAATGAATCGAGGGACCAACCATTATAATAATGATGGTAATAATCAGACTTTAGATGAGTAGTAGGAAAACAAAATAAGATAAATGAGAACCGCTTCAAAGGTTATGCTTTACTTTTTAATCAATGATTTTCCCGCTGAAAGTCGATTATTTCACCTACTGATCATCAATGTGCATAGAAATGATTTATACAAACAAGGTCTGCCATCTATGTAATTGATTAAAAAGTAAAGCATAATCTTTGAAGCGGTTCTCATTTATCTTATTTTGTTTTCCTACTACTCATCTAAAGTCTGATTATTACCATCATTATTATAATGGTTGGTCCCTCGATTCATTAGATATTCTTTTCGTCCCTTCTTTTCCTTCTAAACATATTTTATTCCTAAACATCCAAAGTCAATAATTAAAGACAAATTATCTTGCGTTACACTTAAATAAATCGTCTTATGAGATCTATTTGATCTTCA